GCTTTACGGCATCTGGCTGTCGTGCGTGTCGGTGTACTTGAAGAAGGCTGTGTATAATAGTCCATAATATCGATACCACAGGGATGGAATATCTAATTTAGATACCACTTTTAGTATCGATTTATATCTGGGTATCGATTTTTTGACAACACTACTCACAAGCACTGTTCTATGTTCTCAAACATTAAAAATGTCAATGCTGTTGCATCCAGGCAGTTTGCCGAGGGCACTGCTAAAAAGTTGAAAAACAAAAGATCAATGAATCAAGGGGCGGAGACTACTCATTTCCTAAACGAAATGAGTACCCCCCCCCCCCCCCCCCGTTTTCAAACACGTCCGCCTCAGGTCTCAGTCCCCGCGCATGCACAGTGCAATTCTACTCGCGTTTCAACCCAGATCCACTAGAGGAATGAGACGTGAGATGAATGATGTATATGTGTGGAATGTTATCAGAACCTCGTATCCGGGGAAGCATTTAGTTCTGAGTAGGAGTGAATGTTTAGCTCTAAACTTTAGGGATCTTTGAGGGGAGACCGGTGAACGGGTCCTGGCCCTCCCACATGCTCAGGTTCCACATAAATTATTTGGAACTGTCGGCAGTCTTCATGACGTTGAGACATTTCCTCCATCTCCTCGTAAACCATCATGTTCTGGTACGAACAGACAACACAACTGTTGTGGCGTACATAAATCAGCAGGGGGGTCTGAGATCCCAAAGCCTGCACATGCTAGCTCACAAGCTTGTTCTGTGGAGCAGCAGACACCTTGTCTCTGAGAGCCGCTCATGTATCGGGGATACGGAACCTTGGGGCAGATCTTCTCTCCAGAGGGAACCTCCTGTACGCGGAGTGGAGACTTCATCCAGAGGTGGTCAGGATGATCTGGATGCGCTTGGGGCAGGCCTCGATAGACCTGTTTGCCTCTTGGGAGAGCACTCAGTGCCCCATGTTTTCTCCCTACACGACCGGGACACACCTCTGGGAGTGGATGCATTCGCCCACAGATGGCCACAGATCCTGCTCTATGCGTTTCCCCCTGTGGCTCTCATCTCACCCACGCTCACCAGAGTGAGAACGAAGGACCTGGTAATGATTCGAATTGTGCCCCATTGGCCATCGAAACACTGGCTGGCGGTGATAACACAACTCCTTTGTGGAGAACCATGGCCCCTGCCCCTACACAGAGATCTGCTATCTCAGGCACAAGGGGAGGTTTTCCACCCACACCCGGAGAGATTGTCCCTCTGGGCTTGGCCCGTGAGCGGTCCTACCTACAGGCTGTAGGACTCCCACAGAGGGTCATTGAGACCATTCAGGGCGCAAGGGCTCCCTCAACTAGGTCTCTGTATGACTGCAAGTGGTCCATTTTTGAAAAATGGTGTGGGGAGAAACAGGAAATCCCTTTTCAGTGCTCAGTGGCAGTCATACTGACCTTCTTGCAGGACCTGATGGATAATTAAAAGCTTTCTCCACCATCAAGGTGTATTTGGCTGCAATATCAGCCTGCCATATTGGTTTTGAAGGGAAGTTGGTTGGACAGCATCCCCTTGTGAGTCAATTTATGAGAGGCTTGCTAAGGCAAGTTCCCATCTCTAGGAATCTGGCTCCACCCTGGGCCCTCCCGCTAGTTCTGGAGGCCTTAATGTCTTCTCCTTTTGAACCACTGGAGCAGGTGGATTTGAAGGTGGCTACATTAAAAACGGCGCTGGTGCTGGCACTTGTGTCGGCTAAACGCGTGGGTGAAATACATGCTCTGTCTGTTCACCCGTCATGTACCAAATTTTCCCAAGGGGACTCGAAAGTGACCTTACTCCCTAATCCAACCTTTATGCCAAAGGTGCTGGGGGCTTTTCCCCCTATTTCTTTGGTTTCCTTCTGCCCTCCTCCCTTCTCCTCAGTGGAGCAGCAGAATCTCCATGCACTTTGTCCGGTGCGTGCATTACGTATATACATGGACAGGACAGAGACTATGCGAAAGAGCAACCAGCTTTTTGTGTCCTGGGCAAAAATCGGTTGGGGAAGCCCATATCAAAGCAGGGACTTTCTCACTAGATTGTAGGAGCCATTTCCTAAGCCTACAACTCCAAAGGGGCTCTACCTCCTGAGGGCCTTCGTGCCCATTCTACTAGAGGACTTTCTTCCTCATGGGCCCTATTTAAGAGAGTGTCCATTCAGGAAATATGTGCTGCGGCGAGTTGGACCTCCCCTCACACATTCACTCGTTTCTACAAGCTAGATATCACAACACCATCACTAGCTCACTCAGTGCTGGGCATGGTTCCCACTATCTGAGCTGTGCACACGATATGATATTTGAGAGTACAGTGTGTGGATCGTGTTCTGCCTTGCAATCCGGGAGTCAGTATTTTCCCATAGTGAGACACGAAACGAATGCTATGAAAGAGAACTTTAGGTTACTGTCGTAACCCCGGTTCCTTGAGTAGCATGAGTGAGTGTCTCACCATACCGCCCTCCTTGCTATTTCGTAGCGAGGAAGAGGTGGCCATTTTAGAATACTGTCAGTGAGGAGCCGGCTTAATATATAGGTGGGTTTCCCGCCTCCTATATTTGTTCCAGCCAATCGGGGCTGGCAGTGTGGAATAAGAGCTTCTGATGAGGTCACACCTAGGCGTTCCCATAGTGAGACACTCACTCATGCTACTCAGAGAACCGGGGTTACGACAGTAACCAAAAGTTTTAGGAACATCGTCAGTGCTCACGGGAACTTGGTGATAACCCCGCACCAAATCTACCTTTGGAAAACGTGGATATTCTGGCTAGGTGAACAAAAAATCTTGTTAGGAATGGGATACTGATCATTTGTTGTTAAGGTATTAAAACAGCAGATGTCCCCGCAGTGGTGACACTGTCCTTCGGCTTTGGGCGCTATGTTAACAAACTCCGCATGAGCAACAGCTAGCTTAGCTGGGTCCAAGCAGCGAGCACATGCGAAAACTGGGGGGGCCGATGTGAGAACAAAATGTTTAACACCGTGCTTAGCGACAGAGCTAAAGAAGTTGGGCTCAGTGAGAGTGGGGAATTCTGACAACACTTGCTAAAAAATATCGCCAGCAGAAAAAAAATGTGCATGCATTACTGGCCCCACCCGTGACTCACAAGGCATGGAAACAAAAGAAATGGCATCGACCACACGTTTGTTAGCAAAATCAACCAGAAGATTATGAGCATGAGGAAATCGGCACGTAAAATGGGAACTAAACTCGCTGCAACAATTAAGTCCCACTGAAAGTCACATTTATCAAGGTACACAGTCACCAACCTTTCACCAAATGTCTTGATGGGGGTTCTGTTAGTTGCAGCTAACAGAGGCCTGCAGCCCTCTGCCAACCCATCGGCCCCGGTCAGGGGGACGAGGCTCCGTTGCGAACCGTAATCCACCAAGAATTGTTTCCCTGATCTTGAGTTTTCTATAAAAAGCAGCTTATTCCTGTCATCATCAGCTGCTATCTCGTGTTGGCGGGTTAATTTCCCTGCTGTTTAAAACAGCAAGGAGGGAGGCAACGCCAGGCTTTGCCATCAAAACGCCAGTGATGGAAACAAAGGCCAGTTTTCTGGTGTCCACGGCTGGTTATCCCGGCCACCATTGAAACGTCGGCTGGTTCCAATGAAGCAGCCTTCTAGTTGAGTTCCTTCTGGGGGAAACTGGTACCGCTGCCTGGGTTGTGAAGGTCCTGGTAGCCAAGAGGATCCAGTCTGCCTCCTCAGTCAACAATTCTGCCTTGGAGAGGGAGAAACGTCTTTGCAGCAGCTTCGTTAATCGGGGATAATCGGATTAACCATTTAAAACAACAAATTGAACTTTTTAAATGAATTTTGAGAAAGAGATTTTTTAAAAACATAGTAATGGTTTTGTTTTAAATTCAACAAGTTCCTCTACTTCAATATTCTTTGTTTCACAGACAACAATAGGGAGCCTAAGTCACTTCCGCACCATGGGTCCCCTATTTATTTCTACCTATATTAATATTAACATGTTTCTTATTAATGTACTTTCCAAACAAGTGATGTTTTAAGGCAAAACAACTAAAGAAATGACATAAATGCAGAAAGAAAGAAACTCATTAATGATTAAAAATAACTTAAAGGACAACTCTATCGTGTTTTCTTCCTTTTTCTTAATGCATTTCTAAAGTATCAGATCGGGACTCGGTAACAGCAGATTTGTAAAAGCGAATGACTCTGAATCAGATCGGGAGCAAAAAACATGATTGGAACATCCCTAAAAAACACTGCTAATAATGACAAATGTAGCAGGATTGTAGAAGAAGAAAATAAAAAACCGTGCAGAAGCAGTAGATGTGAAAACCGATCGTAAAGTGCATCACATAATTGATATGATCCAAAGGGTTTGCCTTGACCTGAATGACTGAGAACCTTCACCATCATAGTTGATATGAATATTCCAGCGATTGTAATAAAATGGCTTTATTAAAAGGTGAAAAACTTTATATCTGAAATCCGTACGAATGTACAATTTTTATGAAGCATAGAGCGAGATTAAACGAAAATGGGGTTCACTTGATGGCCTGTTTCGACCGCGTTGTTTTGGTGATTTAGGTGTTTCGGCCGAAAATACACTGTTGGGTCATTTTTGGACAAAAACTTGCAGTGGCCGATTTTTCATTATATCCCTACTACTAAACCCTTACGATGAAATTCCTGAGTTCTTGAAAAGTACTACCGAGACTACCTGTTGCTGTAACACAACGGTTCTGTAGCGTTGCACTTTTCTGTCGTGATGCTTCATGCTCTAACTTTGCTTGCTCAGTTTTAATAATGATTAAATGAAGCTAAAGTGTTTTAATCTCAGTACTAAGGAAAAGGTAGAAACCACTAGTAGATGAAGTTTTTTTAAAGCACCATAAAAACGGAGGTAAATACTTATATTCAAATTTAGACCTTGTGAAAATACCCTTGTGTCTTTTCGGCTTATTTATTTATTTATTTATTTTTACTAATCTTGTATTTTTACCTCTGCAGACATACAGAGTGTCCTTTATGAACTCTGCTGGCAAGTTGTTCAGGGAAACCTCAAGTTGGATCTTGTTGTCAGCGTCCTTCGGGACATGATGGTACAGATGTTATTTTTAAACTCAAGTGAAATGTATTTATTACATGAGAACTGCATCTTTTATTGGATGTGAGTGTGTGGTCATAACACGCTTTTGCAAGTTGTGTTGCTCATGGATCTTATTTGAAACTGATAACTATAAAGAACACATCTTAAACTTGTCTTTTTGCTTTCAGGAGCTCCGAGATGACATGCAATCAGTTTTAGCAGATGTGTTCTGTATACTTGGTAAAGTCTTGTTTACTTTATTCTCAAATAATTGATTTGAAACTTAATGTTATCACTTTCATGTTACATAGAGTTTGTTTGTTTTTTATACAGATTTAGAAACGAGTTCGCTGGAAGAAAAAAACAAACGTGATCATTATACACAGCTGGTGGGAGCATGTTTGGTAAGAACGTTTCAAACATCTTTGGTATGTTCTTGCTGGGTCTGGTTTAAAACATGCATTTTGGATTCTTTTTAAAACACAGAAAAAGTATTTTTGCCTTGCTGACAGTTTCGTTTATCGACTGCAAACTTCCTCCTCCTTCATTGTGCATGGGACTGTGTCATCAGTGAGAGGAGAGCGGGCAGCTGAGGGCGACAACGTCCTCTGCTGCCCGCGGATAAACGGAGAAGGAAGTGACGCCACCATCAGCGTCAGCTCTGAGGAAGTTTGCTGTCGGTAAACGAAACTGTGAGCAAGGTCAAAAAAAACTTTTCTGTGTTTAAAGCATGCATTTTTGGTTCTTTTTAAAACAATCGGCTGTTTTCCTCCACTGACGAACAACGACGCTGACAAATTAGCTGCGCCTGTTTTCTGATGGGCTGACCTTAGTGTTCATTTAAAGAAGCTTGTCTTTCTAACACGTGTATGAACTCTGGTCCAAAGTCCTCATTTCTTGTTTTGCTGTTTCAGTTTTTCACACATTTAATTTCCTCTTCTGAATGACATCATGACTGTGCAACACTTTTCCCCTGTGGTTTGGTTTGTTTTCATACAGAGAAAACTGCAGATGAACTAAAATACCTAAATATTAATCAGGCTATGTTAAGGTTGGGTGATTGGACGAACTATTCGACCATCGACAATAGGCTGAGCCTTTCAACGGTCGTATTTACAAGAACGATTTGTTAATTTAGCCATATGTTTGTTAATAATGACTCATGTAGGTGGGCAGATATTTTAAATTACATACACAGAACATCGCAGGGGTGACATAATCAAGAAAACATTCCCATCTGAGCATTATCTCACACTTTCTCGTGCATCTCACTGTTGACAGTGTGTGCAAGTGAACAGCGCGCTGAAGAGAAGCTCGGGGCATGTCTGTGACAGACCTGTGCACAAGAGCGTAATGTCCAGTGCTTTCAGAACTGTATCGTTGAAACTCTTCTTTCAGAATCTTCTTGACTTCTGGTTGTTTCATTTAGTGAAATGTTCCCTGATTTAAAAACTGTGGCTAAGCTTGTTATTCAGTCTCCAGTGTTGCAGCGGAGCACAGATTCAGACTCCACAACATTAAGACAGTCATGAGTCTTTCTGAGACAAAAGTCCAGCACCTCATGACTATAACGTCTTCAGTTAGTAGTCTATGTTTGGGGTGAAAAAAAACTATGTAAATTAAAGCTGCAAGCAGCGTCGTTCGGCCCTCGCAGCGAAGCTGCTCGCCCTCTGTCCGCACCACCTCCGCTCCATCCCCGACGCTCTCCAAACCCAGCTCCCCGGCGCTCCGTCCTGGCCCGCAGCCAGGGGCACCAGGGCACGTCTGGCAGAACAGAAACGTCAACAACCCCGACACCAGAAACCGTGAACAGCCTCCTCGTCCACACCTCACCCTGACTCAGCATCCCCTCTGAGACCAGCATTACACGTCTCACCACTATGAAATACTCTATCTTTACCACACTGGTGATGTGATGTTCAGTCTCGGGCAAATCGGAGATTGTTTGTGGAAGTTACAGTCAAACGTAAGGTCACAGCGTCACGCCAGAATTCGCCATGGCATCAAAGCCCCTCCCTTTCTGAAAAGTATCAGATCTGAATGGTCCTTACAACATCATGAGGACAGTGCATGACCTTAGTGTCATGTTGACTAAATTAGAGGGGACAAATATGGGCATTTCACCATAAAAAAATAGACTTCCTGTAGTCAGGGGGCGGGGCTTAGTTGATGTCAGCTGTCCACATTGTCATTGTCTTGAGATGTGGTCAATGATCACACAGACACAGTTTGATATAGATCTGATCATGCACATGGGAGTTGTTAAGTCAAGTAATGTAATGACAAAAGGTCAAAGTTTGAGGCTTAGCCACGCCCACACCTTTATACTTATTTAAAATCCGATGGTTGAGTTTTTTCCCCTATGTCTTAAGAGTATATAGCAGAAGTTTGAAGGTGATTGGTGAAAAGGACGATGGTGCAACACTCTCCAAACAACATGTGCGAAAACCACTAAATCGAGTACTTGGACCAAAATGGTCGACTTCCTGTGCGACTTTGCACTTGGCTCCAAGAGACTTTTTTGTAGGTCCTGAAACCCCACATTAGTGTACCAAATTTCGTACTCCTCAGTCAAAGCATGGCTTGGGGCTGACAGTTTTAATGGTCCTAGGGGGCGCTATTTCAGAAAATAGGCCACGCCCACCGGATGTTCACATGAGATTTTTTGGGGGGCCGGACTAGGATCACTCACAAGACGTTTCGTGACTATATCTTTAGAAATGACGACATGGGAGGCACACGTATGGCCACGGCGGTACGCTTGACTTCGCCGCGCTGCCACAGCCCCGCCTTCTGCAGAAAACACCCATAAAGTGACGCCAAGCAACGCCACCTTCTCTTCAGTTAACTGCTACAAATTTGGGCTGATTATTCGAAAGGGCGAATTTTGGAAAATTTCCCAGTAAAACTTGACCTTTTAAGTCCTGAGGGGGCGGGACTTGTGTGACATCATCAATCGACCATTCATTTGTCTTCGGGGGGCAATGACGATTATCCATAGAAAGTTACTTTAACTCTAATTCTTTCATTTATGAAATTATAGCAATTTGAATTTTTTTGGCGAGTGCTCGAACTTTGAGGCCTGGCCCCGCCCCTTCAGTATTTACGAAAAGTCAATTTTATTTTCTCATTTGAATCGTCCATCGCTTCTGTTCGATAGTATACTATTTTTTAGACGATCGTGCGAAAAATGACCAAACTGTTCAACCAAATATAGACCCTAGAAATGGCCAAAACGGCTAAAAATCGCCATTTCAACCCAAAATGGCCGACTTCCTGTTTGATATTGACCATGGTTGCAAGAGACTTTTCTGTGCGGACTGTTGAGTACTACAAGTAAACCAAATTTCATAACTGTATGATAAACTAAGCTTAATGGAGAGGGGTATTTTTCACTTTCTAGAGGGCGCTGTTCAGCCAATTTTTTATGAACTTTCACATCGCCAGTGAAATACGTAAATTTCACGCACTTTCTATATTGGGCCAGAATTTGGTGACTTTTTGGATATGCTAAGACCCCCTAAAGGCCACCCAAAGACGCGGAAGAAAAAAAAAAATAATAAATAATAATAATAATAATAAACGGAGCAGATACAATAGGCCTTCGCAGCTTCACTGCTCGGGCCTAATAAAATACCACAACGATGGGCACTGCAAGGAAACAAAGACGAGGCTTCCTTTTAACACTATAACTGTGTTTAATGCGGGCTGTTTATGTGGCACTCGACCAAACAGCAAATACAAAATAAGAAAAATCAAAAATTCTCCATCGAACTAGGGCTGAGCGATATGGCCTAAAATCAATGTCACAATATGTTGAGGAGTTTTCCTCGATAACGATAAATGGACGATAACTACATGTATGCTCAAAAACACATGTAATGTACGTGACGGGGCTGCCGCGTATATAAAGTTGAGTAAGAGTTGGTACAGCATCTTAAAGGGACGTGAACGTTGCTGACACATCTTTTTTTTTTTCATTATCAAATGTATTTACATGGGGAAAATTTAATTGGTTAGAGTCAGAAATTTTGATAACGATACATTTTTGATTTATCGCCCAGCAGCCCTACATCGATTAAATGCACTGTGCTTCCGTAAAAAATAAATCCATGTTTGGACATAATCTGTGTTTGCAAATCAGTCCGTGCACGATTACACTGCTCAAAAAGTCATGTGTAAATATATCGTCCATCATCATTAATTGGGACTGACGATTGGAGGTTGGAAAAAAGCATATTGCCCAACCCGTGGCCACATATTTAGTTATTTGTTCACATGAGTGCTGTATTTCTTTTTGGCTAGCAAGTAGCTACTGACGTCTGTGCACATCAGCTCATCTCACATTGTGAAGCATAGCTGGCAACAGGAAGTCCTTGGGCTCTGACCCGCTGTGTACACCTGATAGTTGTCTGGTTGAGGTTGGACAACGTGCACTCACTCTAAAAATATTTGAGTGGCTTCATTTTGTACTGTCTGTTGATGTCGTAGATGAAGTATTAAAATGATGTAAGTGATGAACTCACAGTTTTAACTTTATCTTGTCAGTGTTTTGTACCAGAGGCCATCCTGAAAGAGAGGCTGGACCCAGAAACCCTCGAGTCCCTTGGGCTGATAAAGCAAGCTCACCAGTTTAACCAGAAGATTGTAAAAATCAAAACTAAACTATTGTAAGGAAAGCTTACTTCAAAAACGAAAAGTACATTGCTTCTGACTGTTGTGCGTCGTAATGCATAGGTAACTGTTTTTGTCTTTGTAGTTATAAGCAGCAGAAGTTTAACTTGCTGAGGGAGGAGAATGAGGGCTACGCCAAATTAATCACAGAGCTTGGACAAGACCTGTCGGGCAACATCACCAGCAACCTCGTCCTGGAGAGCATCAAGTCTCTTATAGGTACCCGGGAGCAATTCTAATGCCCATTGCCTTCAACTGTCCTTATTGCTGGTGTAATTTTGTTAATCAATTATTTTTTTATCATAATTTGCTCTGTTTGTGTTAAAGACACTTACTTATCACTTGTTAGACAAAAACGTGATCATTCATCTTTCTACTCCGCTTTGTTTGAGTGGCTCTGGTGGATCTGCAGCATTTTATTTTCAGACTGCGCCTTCTTGGTGTCTTTGTTTCTTAGGCTGCTTCAACTTGGATCCTAATCGTGTTTTGGATATAATCCTGGAGGTGTATGAGAGTCGCTCCGACCAAGACGAGTTCTTCCTGTCCCTAATTAAGTCCTACATGTGTGAGCCAATCACCCTTTGCCATATACTGGGCTTCAAGTTCAAGTTCTACCAGGTGACAACAGCAGGAACCCAAGTGTCATGTTTGCAAACAGACTTTTTGAAGTAAATTAAAGGTAGAGATATATGAGTAATGTATTTGTGTATTTGTTCAGGAGCCCAATGAGGAAACACCCAAGTCCCTTTACCACATCGCTGCTGCCCTGCTTCACCGTAACCTAATAGAGCTGGAGGATCTCTACGTGCATGTAAGGAGCAGGAATGCACAGATCAGCAGACATTTTTTAGCAAAGCGGTTTCCAGTCCATGCCTGTGTGACATGCTGCTAGTAGTGTTTTATGGCCTGTTGGTGTGACAACATGAAGGTTTCACCTGCAGTGATCTCTGTCAGATTATTACTTGCTACTTTTCTTTCCTCTTCGCTGTTCCAGCTGATGCCACTAGATGCCACCATCATAGAGGAGCACAAGCGAGAGATTTCAGAGGCCAAGCAGATTGCTCGCAAGCTCGTTATGGTTGTGTTGCCCTCCGAGAAAAGTGAAGACAAAGAGAAGGAGAAAGAAAAAGAAGAAGAGAAAAATGAGAAGGTATGACGGTGCTGAAGCTCATACTGGTTACATATAAATATGGATGGTGGGGGGGGTTGTTTAGACATGTCCCCTTCCTGAAGTGACAAAAGTAAAACCATTTGTGGTTTGTCTCACATCTGTGTTTACAGCCACCGGATAACCAGAAGCTCGGCCTTTTGGAAGCGTTACTCAGGATTGGAGACTGGCACCACGCCCAGATTATTATGAACCAGATGCCTTCCTTTTATGCTTCTTCTCACAAGGCCATCGCGCTGGCTCTCTGCCAGCTCGTCCACCTGACTGTGGAGCCTCTTTACAGGAGGTACCGATTTCTTTAACGTCTCGCATACTGCCTGCTAATTGTTGCCGGCTGGGCAGAAAACATGGACTAGTGCTGTGCTGTTTCGTTACAGAGCCGGCGTTCCAAAGGGGGCGAGGAGCTGCAAAATGCAGCTACTAATGAACAAACGAGCTCCTCAGCCTGCAGAAAGCTTTGAGGACCTACGGAGGGACACATTCAGCATGCTGTGCTATCTGGGCCCTCACCTCTCTCATGACCCCATTCTGTTTGCCAAGATTGTCCGTTTGGGCAAAGCTTTCATGAAAGAGGTAAAAAAAAATAATAAAAATAATAATGTATATATTAGGGTTGTCACGGTATGAAAATTTAACCTCACGGTTATTGTGACCAAAATTATCACGGTTTTCGGTATTATCGCGGTATTTTTTAAACGGTGTTGCATATGTTCAGAAAGCATTGATAGTCCTGTTCTACACAAACTGAAATAGTTTTGAAAAGGTTTAACAGTGTTTATTAAACCTAAAATAACACAAAGCCTTAGCAAAAGTGCAACTTTTCACAAGTAAAGGAACAAATAGCTTATTTTTCTGGAACATGTTACAGTAGTCAGTGCAGGTTTAAATTATACAAATCCAAACATTCAAAACATAAACAATATGTAAACAAATCAAAGAAACACTACTTGTTTTCTCATATACTTGTTTTCTTCATTATCAAAATGAAAATCTAAAACTCCAGTCCACACTTGACTTGAGCACTGTACAAGTCAACCTTAAAAAAATATGTATTTAAAATAAATAGCCACTTTAAACAAATTACTAAAATAACTACTACACTATGTAATCAAATCCAAATGTTCAAGTATAAATGGCATTGAATAAGTAAACAAATCAATGACAAGGAACTAATTGTATATTTCTCTTCATCATCAACAAATAAGATGCTTCATCCAGCAACAGGGTGTCCGTGACACGGTTTAAATGCTGGCAGAGGGCGCTGCGGCTGCAGTATATAGTGACTCGTTGCATTCTCCCTCAGCCAAAAGTCCTCGCGTCATGCATTTAAGCTAAAATGCTAATGTTAACTTACCTTGCACTGGCTGTAGAGACGTGGGTGATGGTCACGCAGATGTGCCATTAGATTCGAAGTGTTGCTGCGTTTTGCAGACACTTGTTTCCTGCACGTTCTGCAAACGGGATAGCCGTCTTCTATTAACTGTCCCTCAGCATTTTTCAGAAATCCAAAATATGCCCATACTTCCGATTTAGTCTTCTTTGAGGGCTGATGGATGTCCTGGGCGCTGCCGTCTCCTCCTTCGGCCATTATTTCAGCTTCAAAGTTTTGGTGCCGTTGCAAACTAAAAAGTGCGTGTGCGCGCCGCCGGAACTTCACCTGAAGCGACGGTGGCTGGTAAGGGTCACCGCGCCGAAACCGCGGCCACGGTAAACCCACCGAGATAATTTAGTTTTTTTAAAAACTGGACGGTTATTTTTATTGTCAACTTTTTTACCGGGGTTTACCGCTATACCGGTTACCGTGACAACCCTAGTATATATATATATATATAGTAAAATATGTTGTAAAACACCTTGGGGTTCTAAGACTCTAGAAGGCGCAATATCAAATACAGATCAATTACCATTTTATTCATTTTTTTGTTGACTTTGCTTGACAGTACCAATCTGATGTCAGACCTGAGCTGAAAGACAAGATGGTAAATCTTCAACCCAATTTCCTCCCAGATAAACTGCCACCCTGACTGGTAAAATAAACTATTCACTTTGGTTCATTTCAGGAGTTACTGTTAAGTTGCTTCCTGAGCATCGCAGACCAGGTTCTGCTGCCGTCCATCTCTGTGATGGAGTGTAACGCCTGCATGTCTGAGGAACTGTGGGGGCTCTTTAAGCTCTTCCCTTATCAGCACAGGTAAACACACACACACACACACACGCACGCACACGCACACACACACACACACACACACACACACACACACACACACACAAAGCTGCCAGATTTTAAAAAACCCTCCTGAAACTTCCATGTTTTTGTATTTGTTCTCAGGTACCGTTTATATGGGCAGTGGAAGAATGAGACCTATTCTGGACATCCATTGTTGGTTAAAGTTAAAGCTCAGACTGTGGACAGAGCCAAATATATTATGAAGTAAGTAACTTGTGCAGGATTTGGTCGACTATTAGCACCATTTTCCTCTTTGGTTGAAAGTCAGTCCTGGAGCATCTCAGGGTAAAGTTTTTATGACTTAAACTGTAGATTAGAGCGCTACAATGATTAAAAGGGTTTTGTTTTCTTAAACTGACAGCTTTGAGATTGTTTCCTAGATTAATGGTTTTATTTTTAATCTGCCACTTCTTGTTTTGTTTTGTGTTTGTCTCTTTTTAGGCGTTTGACCAAAGAGAATGTGAAACAGTCAGGAAGGCAGATTGGCAAGCTGAGCCACAGCAATCCCACCATCCTCTTCGATTATGTAAGTGTGTCCTTCTTCCTTTTACTTGATGCTGCTGCAATATTTCTAGTTTTCTTTGGAAGAATGGTGATTTTTAGCATGCAATACCATTTGTTTCAGGCTTAGGAGCTCTGGTGCTTCTGAAAAAAAAACTTGAATCACACCAGAAAAATAAAAGCAACTTCTTAGAATAACACGACAATTAAATGTTAAGTTTTCGTCATATTTACAGCATCACAGATGGATAATCCATTTATATTTAATTAACCACTAAAATACCAAAATGTTTTAGTTTTAATGAAAAGTGCAAGATAATTTGTCAAACAACATGTTTTGCCCTGTTGCTGCACACCAGATTTACAAAAATGCTCCTTTCCTGTTAATAGTTTTTCAATTAGAATAGCAATAATTGGCCAAAGACAGTTTTGGGATGGAGAAAATGTTCAAAGTGTTGCAATTAGGGGTAGAGGAATATATTGGTCCATATTTACCATTTTCTACATAGACCCCTTGACACCTGATGTCATGTGCTCAAGACCAGCTTCTGGCTGGGGGCGGCATCCCCATTAACCATCGTTGTTATTTTCTGTGAGTTGTCAATAAACAGAGCTAAATAGTGGTGAAATAAAATCTGTCAGCATGGTTAACACATGCAGTGCTGTAGGCTGCACAAGTAGACCAAAGGACAGTAACGTAAAATTTTACAGGTTTCCGTTAAATTAACAGATTAAAATAGCAAAATACCTGACCCACATGTCCAGACAAGAACAAGTTATAGCCACTTTTACGTCAACGCAACCCGGTTAAACTAGTTTTTTACATAATTACACAAACATGTTCCAAAATTAGAGTGGGCAGCCTTTACCCCCACATTCCACTACCTCCGCTCCGCTCCGACACGAACGCCGGAGCAAAATCGGTCCCGTTCTAGTCAATCAGAGCAATTCCACTATTGCGGCCGTGTTCCGGCCGTGCTCCGGCAGTGCAGCGCCATGCGCCACCCTCTGTTCCGGCGTCCGGCAAAAATAGAATCGATCCTATTTTTGCCGGACGCCGGAGCACCTCCGCAGTAAATGGACAGAAATCACAAACGCCCAACAGGAAAAGGAGCGAGCACAACTTCCGTTTTTCACAATACATCGATAAACAAAGGCGTTTTTTGTTTCATATGCACAGGTTTAACAACTTTTATCAACTATCAACGACGGCTGAAGTTTAAATGCACAAAAGTAAGCCATAAATACAGTTTCCACTATCAAAGTGTAGTCACACTTTGTTGATCCAAACACTGCTGATCCGTCAACACAAATGATGGGCAGATTAAACAGTTCATGCCGATGCTTCTCCCACACAACGGGTGTTTGGATCTAACTTCCGCATTTATTGCTCGGACTGTATCGCAAGATCTCAAAAATCCCTCACATGCTTGTTTGCCCACCTCAGGTCTCCGCACCGGAGCGGAGCCGTTGTAGAGCGGGTAGCAGTAAAAATTGAGTTCGGAAGCGAGCGGCTGCGGAAGGCGGGGGCGGAGCGGAGCGGAGGTAGTGGAATTTGGGGGTTAATGCCATTGGTTTTGCATTTACTGAGCTTGTCATGTATGTCAAAAGTTATTTATTTATGTATTTATTAACAGTTTGTCCCTCCTGAGATCTGCCCAGCCTCTAATGATGTTCAATTTGAGTTTCTTTTTACGGAGCTCGTCAGAATAAACAGAGCATCCATTAGTCTCCAAAGACACGTGTCACGTAATCCTTCAACGTGAACCTACACAACGCAGAAAACATCCATTTACACCTTCGTTGGTTCAGCTGTGTAAAGTTCAGGCGTGTTAACAAAATTATTGCTAACATCCCCGTGCTGGCAGCCAGTTCTGAGGAACGTCCCTACAGCTCGTTAGCCATTTCAAACGGACCTGGAAGCTTTGTGCTAAACTCTGTTAGCTTTGAGATGTAACTTTTTTATCATCTTGGATGATCTAAAATAGCAATAACTGAATTCACTAGGTTTTATTTTGTTAACTTAAATCACAGAGATACAGCTCTGGATAGTGGCTGCAGAGGGTCCTTTTGTGTGGAAACTTTGTGCATCAACCGATGGTATGAAAGATATTTTAGCATGGAAATAAGGTGGAAAACATCGGCTGACCATGACCTCTACATATCGGTATCGGCAACAGAAAAAAACATAATCGGTCAATAGTTGCAATGCTGATTCTGAGATTTACTCATTAATGGCCTTTAAATGCAACTGTTTACATTCACTCTTAAAACTAATTTTAGGTTATGTAATAGAGAGAGGTTAGACTGCATGCTGGAGTTCAATAATGGTAACAAACTCGAGTTACCTGCCTTTGTCATGGCCACCTGACCAATGTCATAACATTATTAAAGGTGATTTTCCGTCCATATTTTTGTTACTTCCACCAGATGCTGTCTCAGATCCAGTGGTACGACAACCTCATCGTTCCCGTGGTCGACTCTTTAAAATTCCTCACATCCCTCAACTATGATGTCCTGGCCTGTATCCTTACATGTTGCTCTGAAGTGTGTGTGTGTGTGTGTGTGTGTGTGTGTGTGTGTGTGTGTGTGTGTGTGTGTGTGTGTGTGTGTGTGTGTGTGTGTGTGTGTGTGTGTGTGTGTGTGTGTGTGTGTGTGTGTGTGTGTGTGTGTGTGTGTGTGTGTGTGAGAGAGAGAAAGGGGAGAGGGGAGCTGTCAGTGTAAAGGACTTTTCCTTTCTGTGTTATTTCACTCAACTCTGGCTTCAGATTGCATCATCGAAGCGCTGGCTAATCCTGAGAAGGAGAAGATGAAACACGATGACACTACCATTTCCTCGTGGCTCCAGAGTATGTTTCTTCAAATAGCCATATAATTTTGGCCCGTGTTGAAAGAGTTTGGATGTTTGATGGTTGAATGACTAAGACACCTGAACTTCCTGTCAACAAAGGTCTGGCGAGCCTGTGTGGAGCCGTGTTCAGGAAATACCCCATCGAGTTGGCCGGCCTCCTTCAGTATGTGACCAATCAGCTGAAAGCAGGGAAGAGGCGAGTAGTTTACATATCAACAGCCGATACATGCTTTATTATTATTATTATTACCACCGTTAGTGTGGAGATGCTCCATTCATAGTTGAATTGTAAGAAAGACAATACACACACATGTGTGTGTTAGTGTTGTGATGTCATCTCTCCTTACTGCAGCTTTGACCTGCTGATAATGAAAGAAGTGGTACAGAAAATGGCTGGTATTGAGATCACGGATGAGATGACCTCAGAGCAGTTGGAGGCCATGACAGGGGGAGAGCAGCTGAAGGCTGAGGTATGAACACTGAGCTGGGATCTCCTCGTGGACTCTTTATTAGAATGTGTGCTGCATCTCAGTTCAGGGCAGCTCCATTATTCATAGATATGATTATGTCCACAGGGTGGATACTTCGGCCAGATTAGGAACACAAAGAAGTCCTCGCAGCGTCTGAAGGACGCACTGCTGGACCATGAACTGGCTCTTCCTTTATGTTTACTCATGGCCCAACAACGGAACGGGGTGGTTTTTCTGGAGGGGGGAGAGAAACACCTTAAACTTGTCGGCCATCTCTACGACCAGGTATAAACTGGAATGGTTGTGATCAGTTTTACTTCTGCGGAAGGGAAAATATTATTTCCGTATCTTTCAACAGTGCCACGACACTCTGGTGCAGTTTGGTGGGTTTTTGGCTTCCAACCTCAGCACAGAAGATTATATTAAGCGAGTTCCCTCCATTGATGTCCTTTGTAATCAGTTTCACACTCCACACGACGCGGCGTTCTTCCTGTCTCGCCCAATGTACGCCCATCAGATTTTGGTCAGTGGGCTACTTTTAAGTTTTTCTTAACTCCTGTTAAGCTTTTTGATTTAAAAAATGTAAAATAAAAAACTAATAATCTCAACCTGCTGCATGTTCTCTACTTACAGTCAAAGTATGATGAGATGAAGAAAGCAGACAAAGGCAGTCGGCAGCAGCAGAAGGCACAAAAGTATGTATCAGCCTGTGAGCAGGTGATGGCGTCAGTCCATGAGGCTGTGGTGTCCCTCCACCCTGCCAGGGTGTGGGACGACATCCGCCCTCAGTTCTACTCCACCTTCTGGTCTCTCACCATGTATGACTTAGCTGTACCGCAAGCAGCTTACGACCGAGAGGTCAACAAGCTCAAGGCCCAGATCAAGGCCATCGAGGAGAACCCTGAGATCGTGAGTGTCATCACCTCCCTGTTCTACGCACAGATGCAGGTGAAATGAGTTGTTGGGTATTGGAGACGTAACTCTTAATGTCTTCTTTCAATAAAGCCTCTAAATAAGAAGAAGAAGGAGAAGGAACGCTGCACCGCCCTGCAGGAAAAACTCCAGGAGGAGGAGAAGAAGCAGGCGGAGCACGTTCAGCGAGTTCTGCACCGCCTCAAACTGGAGAAAGACAACTGGTTGCTGGCCAGTAAGTGTCGCGTTTGCCAATTCAAAACATTTCTGTGAGGAGGGTAGTGGACACGTGAGGTGTTTAGATCTGTTTTTTGTTTGACCCAAAAATTCTCACACAAGCTCATAAAATAATAAAGTGTAAATCTTTAATGACAGAATCAACAAAGAACGAGACCATAACAAAGTTCCTGCAGCTCTGTCTTTTCCCTCGCTGCATCTTTTCCTCCATTGATGCCGTGTACTGCGCTCGCTTCGTTGAGCTGGTCCACCAGCAGAAAACGCCCAACTTCTGCACCCTCCTCTGCTACGACAGGGTAACAGTCGTGTGTTATAAATGTCTCAGTCATAGAATGATGATGATATGTTCACTACGTAGTTTTGTAAGTCTAAATGTTTTGTGTCTAAGAAAGTAAAAGGATCAGATTTGTGATGATTGAGATCTAAACATTTTTACTGGGATCTGACACAAATGTATGAAATCAAATTGATTAAATCTTTCCTTTAATCTTTTAAAAGTATTTGTTATAATGTAAACCTAAAGACAGCAGTTAATGCAGCTGTAAGATAAAGTTTAATCATGCATGGAAGTTTTTTCCTGCCAGGTGTTCTCGGCCATCATCTACACAGTGGCGAGCTGCACAGAGAACGAGTCTCACCGTTACGGACGTTTCCTCTGCTGCATGTTGGAGACGGTGACCCGATGGCACAGCGATCGAGTGATTTATGAGAAGGTCTCTTCTGTTTACTTCACGTTGGACGCAGATTCATCTGTGACATGTTGCAGGGATGAATCTGTCTCCTCTCACTGTGCGGCTGTAGGAGTGCGTGAATTATCCAGGCTTCCTGACCATCTTCAGAGCGACGGGCATTGAAGGGGGGAACAAAGTGGATCAGCTAGATTATGAGAACTTCAGACATGTGGTGCATAAATGGCACTACATGCTGACTAAAGTGAGCTGCCTGTCCGTCTGGATAATTACAAAGTGTTTTAAGGTCCCAAGTTTTCATAATTCTCATTTGCTTTTTGCCCTGACCAGGCTTCAGTTCACTGCCTGGAAACTGGAGATTACACCCACATCCGGAACATTCTGATCGTGCTAACCAAGATCCTGCCCTGCTATCCAAAGGTTCTGAACCTCGGCCAGGCTCTGGAGTGCCGAGTGCACAAGATCTGCCTCGAGGAGAAGGATAAGAGGCCTGACCTCTATGCCTTAGCTATGGGGTAACACAGCATTGTGCTGTTCAGCTCTGTGTGGAGTGTTCACTTTAATCTGTCTCATGAAGCATGGCTGAAGCAAGATCCCGCTCCTCAGCCAAGTCTGAATGAGCTCGTGTCTGATGAGAGTTTCATAATCCTATTACTGCTCGGTTTACAATTCTGTCTAAAGTTTGGACCCATAACTAAAAACTGATTTATCGTGAAGTGGTTTAACTGGTTTTACTGCCAGTTCCAGATTCAGCGGAGGTAAATGTTAGTGTGCCCTTATTCTGAGAAAAAAAAAACCTCAACTTTGACTCATTTCTAAACCAAACAAGTCAAACACGATCAGAACAGCCAAGTTCAGAGTTAGTTTTGTATTTGGTAAATCTACAATGTTCACCCAAAAGAATCGCGATCGTTCACTAATTAAAGATGACGTCCTTTTATTTGCCACTTGAAGCACGATTGGATCCTTTGAAGTGTACGAAATTGAAACACTAGCTGTTTTTTGTGGAATGGGATGCTTCCCATCAGGCCAGCTTTTAATCCCAGGATGAACTAGGGCTGGGCAATAAATCAAAAATTTATCGTTATTGAAATTTCTGACCCATATCGAGATCATTTTTCCCAAGTCAATAAATTTGATTATAAAAAAATGAAAAGATGTGTGTAGGTTGGGAACGTCCATGTCCTTTTAACCCACCCACTGTCTTTATGGGTGACCCCGCGAGGAAAGTTGACCATTGAGCAGGATTGATGGTTTATCCCTTGAGGTCCATGTGGCAGGGGTGAGGTGGTGCTCACTCCTCACCCCTGCCACGTGGACCCAAGGGATAAACCAATGGTCAACTTTCCTCGAGGGGTCACCCCCATTAGGACAGTGGGAGGGCTAAGCTGTACCACCTTGAGTCACGTAAAAATGGGACTGAACGTAATGCATGTGACAGCCCCATCTAGTGGACAACTTTTGTTTCTGCTTGTACCTGTAGTTATCGTCAATTTATCGTTATCGAGGTGAAATCCTCAATATATCGTGATATTGATTTTCGGCCATATCGCCTAGACTGGACAGGAACTGAAATAGAATTTTAAATTGGTGCTGTTTCCTACTAAACTGATGTGGGTATATAATATAATATAATTTAACATTCACCTCCTTGTGAAACAGCTCCTGTAAATTAGGAAAGTCTGAAAATTGCTGTGCAATGATGTCATAGAAGAGATGCAACCATTCCAGATGCTCGTCTTACATTTACAAGTTGGATTTTTATTTTAGCAACAAACCGATCACACATCAGGGTCCAAAGTTGTTTATTAGATCAGTCCTTAAATAAATGTCTACTTTCTTCTCCATGAAATAAAATCTTTGCTCTGAGGTTCTTTTGAGGGCTTTTTGCAAATCCTCTATGCGTCTTACAGTTATTCAGGTCGCTTGAAAAGCCAGAAGGTGCACATGGTTCCCGAGAATGAGTTTCACCACAAGGACCAGCCGGCGCGGAGCACCACACCTGCTAGCCAACAGAACGGCCCCGGGAGCACCAGCAAGCCCGCCACCGGCACCAGCAAAGCTGAGGAGGGGGCGTCAGATGATGGAGGTGAGGACAGAGGACGTTAAATGATTAACAGGATTATTCATGGGTGTAAACTAAAACCCGTGTTTTGTTTTTGCAGATCGGGGCAAAGATAAATCTCAGGGGACCGCAAACCCAGTGAATAAAGCCAACAGTGCCACAGCCAAAGTCACCACCAGCAACGGAAACGGTGCTCTCAATAGGTAAACTTTATTATACCTAATTTTTTTCTCACAAAAACACAGCTAGAACACAGAATGCTAATAATATCAATCGTAGCAGTGCCATGAAAAATTAAATTTGCAATTAAAGCGACCAGATGTGCCGCTCCATCAGTTCAGTTCGGTTCTGTGTCAGCTGAGCTGCTGCTGTATGGCGTGGTATGGGGGCCAAAATTAAGACTACTGCCCAGCAGCAGGAGGCTATATCAATTCCGAAGCAAACTACGATCTGATTAATGATAAGCTAGTGCCGGTAACTGAGAGGCTGGCGCTGCTTACTGAGAAATAGCACCTTTACCGGCGTTACTACTAAATATGCTAGGGACTAGCAGCCCTCGGCTGTTCATTGACTGGATCACACACTCCCTCTGCTGTCTATTAGCATGGATAGGCTAGCGTTAGCATCGGAGAGGCTAGCCATTATTTTTATTATTATTATTTAACTTTTATTAAACAGATGACATACTATGAGACCTGCAATCACAGTTGTTCCTTTGGCGGAACACGTTGTTATACACTTTAACTTTAAGCATATTGTAAAGCTGACAGCCTGTTAGCATTGATTAGGTGCTGCATTAACTCCTTTCTGCTCTTAACAGGTTGATGGCGTTATCTTTTTAAATAGTTTGGTTTTCTTGCACATATCAGAGAAAAAGCCAGAGCTAACTAGTTTGTACTTTTCATCTTTGGATTTTAAGTCCTTTGTATTGAATTACAGGCTAATAATTATTAAAATTGTGATTTTATCTTTATTAAAACTACATAATATGTACAAAAAAAACCCGCATCTAATAGAGTAAGTGACTCTCCGAGACATGCTAATGGTTAGCCTCTTTGATGCTAACGCCAGCCTATCCATGCTAAAGGCCCGTCGAGGGGGTAGGAAATCCAGCTAGTGGCCAGCCTAGGCACGCTAATGGCTAGCCTCTCCAATGCTAACACCAGCCCGTCCAGTCTAACGCTAGCCTATCCATGCTAATAGACAGCAGAGGGAGTGTGTGATCCAGTCAATGACCAGCCGAGGGCTGCTAGTCCCTAGCGTGTCTAGTAGTAACGCCGGTAAAGGTGCTATTTCTCAGTAAACAGCACCAGCCTCTCAGTTACCGGCGTCAGCTTATCATTAATCAGATCGGTAGTTTGCTTCGGAATTTATATAGCCTCCTTCTGCTGGGCAGTAGTCTTAATTTTGGAATTTTGGCCCCCATACTGCGCCAAACTGCTTAGGCAGAGATCTACTCCTGACCTGAGCCACCTCGGCTTGCTGCTGCCACCGTAACACTTTTATAACCAGGGGAATCCCGGATGTTTTTTTTTTTTAAAAAAAACTGCAGAAATTTCTAAAATTCTGTGTTTTTCTGTCAGTATATGGGGCTGTTTGTACATCAATGAGGAAAAAATGAATTGATTTCATTTTAACAAATGGCTGCAATATAACAGTGAAAAATTGACGGGGGTCTGAATACTTTGCATACCCACTGTATGTAGCTTCAGATTTGTTTGAGGTTTTCTGAATAATTTTATTAAAGAAAAATGTCTTCTCCTGCAGCGCCAAAGGAGTTAAAGAACGGGACGACAAAGAGAAGAGTGTGAAAGAGAAAAAAGAGAAAAAGGAGAAGACTCCAGGCAGCACACCAGAGACTAAAGCCGAGAACCGTCGCGAGAAGCAGAGGGAAGAAAGAGCAGGGAAGGAGGAGCGAGTGGCGCGCGAGGGTAAGGAGAAGACTCCGAAGGCAGACCGGGAGAAAGCGAAGCCAGAGGAGAAGAACAGCAAAGACGACAAGACCAAGGCAGGAAACGGCGACCCCACGGAACTGACCAGGGAGCGCGACGCCGTCAAGGAGCACAAGAACAAGGAGAAAGTAGACCGGAACGCTGCAACTGGTTCCCTCAAGTCACCCAATCCCAGACTAGAGTCTGCCGAATCTGAGAGGGGTGAGAGACCTTTCTGGTTGTCTAGGTGGAAGGGGAGTGACATCAGATGTCTCAGATCTTAGGGACCATGTAGGCCTAGTCTTATTTAAACATGAAGGATCACATACTTTTACATTGTGCTGGTATTTAAGGACATTAAACCTAATGACCTAAACTCACATAAGTAATCCAAGTTCAGTATAAATGAGAAGCTTTTCCTCTCCTCCCCAGATCACAAAAGACGAAAGCTCGACTGTCACTCCTCTCCATCCCACTCCTCCACTGTTAAGGTTAGTATGGCTTGAAGAAGGCTGTTCCCGTTTCTTCTCTATCTGCCGGAGCGTTCCCAGCTGTTGCACATTCCAGCGGCCCTGAAGATCGTCCAGCAGAGTTGTCGTTCCAGCAGGCTTTTTCTCTGGGAATCCCGACCATAACCTCGGAGTAGGAGAGCGACTCATGGACATTAGCATAAAAGTTTGCTGTGTTGGAAGAAAATCCCCTGAAAGACTTAGTCAAGATAATAATATGTATATTAAAATATTTTCTTATAGAAATATTTTTCTTTTTTTATATAAGGGAAGCAGTCAGTGTGCCTTGGGAAGAATTTTTTAAAGCCTTTTTTTTTTATATTTTGTGCATTTTTTGAGGATGCCAGTATTTACCTGAAGGCTTCCCCAGTCAAGAGTCCTTCAAAGTGTTTTTTTCCCCCAACAGTCGCATTTTACTACTTGAAAAGATGCCGGAAGTTATTTCCTCCTGTTTTTTTTTTTTTTTTTTTTTTTGAGCCACTAAGTTCCTGCATTAAAGTCGTGTAAAGTTTCCTGCCCTCCCCTCGACGTCCCCTGGTGCAGTTTGAAGATGGATGGCGTCCAGCAAACTGCTCTGGCACGCTGCCTGAGGAGTTCCTGTCTACTGCTGAGCCCGTTGGCCCCTCTTCTGTCTCCTCTTGTGAAAGAGGCCTGCATGCAGCCTTCGCGCTACGTGATGCACGCCCAGTCAGTCCTGCTGGTCCCCTGCAACACCATCGCTACAGCTTCCAGCTATCGGCCTCATCACTCTTACCTCCTGGCAAACTGGAGCCACCAGCAACCCAGATCAACAGAGGAAATGAATGCTGCAGTTTTGAAAGAGCCATAAAAGCAGAGGGAAATGAGCCTGCCACTACAAAGAGAGAGTGGGCGTAAGCTGGATCGTCTAATCGCCCTTGCCCAAACCCCTTGAAGCCTGTGCTAAGTCTTTATTTTACCCTCCCACCAGAGAAATAGGCTCTGTGTTTCTAACCCATTCCTGAACTGTAAGTGACAGCAGCAGCTATTGTAGGAAACTGCAGCAGCACTTAGGAATTGCACGATTTGTCTCTTACAGGCACATGTGCACACTCACTCGCTCACTCACTAGTTACAGCACTCGCACTTTAGAGGTATCAAGTGCCTGGTGCACTCCAGCTGCAGACATGTTTGTAGTAATGAGACTAATATTTATCTCGCACACACTCAGGGTTTTTCTATAAGGTTTCTATTTTTTAAGTGTTGACATTCCAGATGTTGAGCCCATGAACTCTCCTCTTTGTAATAACCTTGTCAAAGCCTTAGCTCTTAAAGGTCAGAGGTCAAGGGAGAAGTGTGCTGTTGGTCCAGCCAGCCCAGACTCCCCTCTGTCTCACCCCTCTCCTACCAACTTTCTACTGCTGTCTGACAACCTCCTGCAAATCCCCACCCCCTCCCAGCTCATCTGTCATCTCCATTCATCCCTACAGGACGGTAGCAACGAACTCAAGGAGTCCACATCCAAGGTTAGAACTGCTCAGATACCTACACCTGATTTCATTCTGGTTTTTGTGCGAGACTGTGTGAAACAGCTGACATGGTGCAGCTCATGTTAGGTGTCTAAGGCTGGGAATATACTTGCTTTTTAATGACGCGTACGTATGTTTAAAATGACTGCCTCATGTAACTTGCATCGATTTGATAACATACAAGTAACCAGTAGGCAGAGTTGACACACCCGCCATTGTCTATCTTTCATAATGTCTATGACACCACTGAAACCACTGATGTATTTTTTTTTCTTTATTTTTCCTGTGATCTCAAAATTAACCAGTTACTGCTCTCTTTTGTTGGTGCCACGTTGGTTTTGGTTGTCTGAGTGCTCCACTGTGCTCCCTAGTGGAACACTCCAGTACTGCGTGCAGTGCAGCAGTATGTAAACAAAATGCAGCCTGCTGCCTGCGTCAACACGAGGTTAAAAAGCAAGTATATTCCTGGCCTAAATGTTACAATCTGTCACTATTGTGCATTTATAATTAGCAGAAAGGGAAGTACTCCATAATTAAAAGCAATTACTGTATATAAGATGGACAGACCCTCCACATAGTCACCTGTAAATTTCTGAAGAGCTGAATTGAAGCCCTGTAGGAGGTTCCCACCTCCGCCATCTTGGCTGCATTTGGCATTGTATCACTCCTGGAAAATACAGAAATAGGGCTAAGTGTGGGGCTGTGAAGGTGGATGCAAATGATTTACACCCTCTGAGACGATGTAATTACAAGCCAACGGAGCTTGACGGGCGCATTTAGTTCATTTAGTGAATTTGCTACCCTCTGCCTTCTAGACTAACACTTTAAGCCGAAGCTGAGGTCTTTACTGGAGCAGGAGAAGCAAGCTGCTAGTGCTGACAGCTCTTCTGACACCTGTCGAACAAAAGATACACTCCTAAGTATTCATAGTTTCAAGCTTTAATTAAATCTGAAATGGATGAGTTACTAAAAGAAAGTGTGGAGCTGACATGCCAGGGCTTTGTGCATGTTTTAGATTATGAACACAGCTGATTTTTTTGATTTGGTGATGAGTTGCTCCTATAGGAACTAATGAAGACTGAGGAGACATTTCAGCAGTTAAAGATGTTAAAAAGACGAACTCGCACCGAGGAGTTTCACTTTTACTTTTACTAACGGACACTAGAGGGTGTTAAAGCAAGTCAAATCTGCCTAATCCCGCCCATCAAGTGCCTCTCTGCCTGTCGGTTACCAGACTCATTCTCTGTGCAGAACTGAACAGAGGATGAGTCTGGCAGGCCAGGCTACAGCAGTGCGTCCTGGAAGCATGGAGTCTGCTAATTCAACTAAGAAATTGAAAAGAATAGCTACACCATTGCTGTACTTATTAGTTTGAATAAAAAACACAATTACATCAAAAGACACATAAAATTTGTCAGTTCGTCATCATGTCCAACACAAGGAAGCCACACATGTTCAGACCCCCGCCTGCTATTAGCTGGACATCAGCCTCCGATTAGTGTCTCTGACTCCCAAACTCACGTCAAGTCGTTCATCCGTCTTTTCATAGTACCAGAACTCCCGATCCGGTCCCAACGTGTCCATTCCAAAGTCCTTCTACTCAAGTCTCCTCTCTTCCTGCAGCTTGCCGTCTCACCCAACATGCTCCATCGCTCGTCCGCTAGCCAGTGGCTAAATCAGCGTTGTTTACTTGATCTCCACAACACTTTACTAATGGCGATGTAGTTCTTCACACGTTACTGAGATGCTCTGACACAGAGGGCTTCTTCTCAAACATTACCTTTAGACTTGGGTCTCCTTTGGCTGGTAATCCGTGGAAGTTTACACACAGCATACACAGCGTGTCCCTGGCTCTAGCCATGGCTAACTAGTAGCTTGTGATGCCTATCTCCACCACGTCAGCCGTTAGCCACGATTAGCAGGCGACTAAGTCAACATCGTTTACTTGACCTCCACAGCGTGTCCCCGGCTCACCAACCCTCCTTCGCCAGCTGTGGCTAACAAGCAGCCAGTGATTGCTCCATAGATGGTAGCGGCATCCAGTTTGTTTACATCAAGCGCGCCGTGATCCACGTGAAACGGGTGTTGTGGGAAATTGTTTCTCTGAAATATTCTGTTTCCCTTAGACAGTCGAGAGCAAATATTTCCAAATTCACCTAACTTATTGTTCATTATGAGGACTCAAATAAAAGATGGTTAAACTGAGTGAGATTACATTGTTTTACATAACATTCATAAATGATAAATAAGCTTGCAGCAAAAGAGTGAACAAGAATGTTTTTACTGTATCTTTTTTATTGTTTTTAGGAGGAAATATAAATAAAAAATCACAAGCATAACATTATTACATTACATTACATTACATAATTTTCCCATAAAAGTTTATCACAAATATTGTGAAAATAGCCTGAAGTGCGATCTCCCGACACGGGCGGGACAGAATATTTCAGGGGAACACAATTTCACAACTCCTGGCCTCCCAGAAGAGAGAAATGCACACGCACTGACAGACCTTTTACTATTACCTGGGGAGTGTTGCCAAGCATTTCCCCGCCAAGACAACAGAGGGCATTAAGCTTTTCTGTGGTATAATGCCACCATTACACTCCTGTGTCCAGTCCATGTCAGTGTATTTATATATTTCAGAGACTTTATAACGCGGGCAAATGTGTCCTTCATTCTCCTCCACCTATTCATGCGGTCGTCATCTCTAAACCATGCCCTAAAACCACGTTTCCCATCATTTCTGTCCACGAATAAAACACTTGCTCCATATTTTTTTACTTCTTCTATCACAAGTAAATAAACGTTCATATTTTCAGACTTTTTCCACGAGGCGTTCTTCAATCTGTTCCTTGTCTGCTGCCAAATATCTTTTTTACTTTTTAAACAAGGCAATAGAGCTCCGGGAGTTGACGTCACGTTTCCCGGCATGCAACAGTTCAAATCGAAACGGCGCCATTTGGCAAGCAGAAGCCGGCAGCTGGACTATTTGTTATTGTCAGAAAACTCAATCAAACGGGAAATATGGTAGATTCCTGTTGTGCCCCAGGATGCAGAACAGACGCGGACAACATAAGGAATGAGCCATCTACAGGATTCCCCATGATCCGGAGCACCGCAAACGTTGGATCATTGTAATAAAACGCGCTAGTGACCGGGCTGAAATGAAGCTGTGAGATCCAGAGTGTAAAGGTTTTTGCTTATGCAGCGACCACTTCATATCAGGTACTTAAACCAACGTTTCCTCAACTGTGTATGGTATTTATTTTAAATGCTTTTATTACGATTCTTAGTGGGCTTCCTAAACTTATTTTGGCGTGGCTTTTTCTGTCTTATTACTCATAGCAGCAAGTAAACATCACGTAAAACGTTTCCTCGTGAGTTCTGCGTGCTGCCGTTTACGTGTTTTATGATCACAGCAATTAACCGGCTAAGCTGTATTTAATTTTTAAGCAATGGTTGATCAATTGTCAGATCACACATAAAAAGCACTTTGGATTGCTATTATCTGTCTCACCGAGACGGATCTCAGACAGATCCTGAGACGCTCCTGCCTGACATATTTATTTTATTCATGGAAAACAATCAAACTAGTGATTTCTCTTGGTGTTCAGTTTATACATTCAAACAGCACAGCACTCTATTTAAACTACTTACGTGTAAATCTGTTATTTGTCCATCCATCCATTTTCATCCGCTTATCCGGAGTCGGGTTGCGGGGGCAGTAGCGTCGAGAGGCCCTGACTTCCCTCTCCCCAGCCGCCGGAGCCAGCTCCTCCGGGTAAATCCCAAGGGGTTCCCTGGCCAGGTCCAGTAAGAAGTCCGCTCCGACAGCTTCTGGCGTCGGAGCGGGCAGTAGCGTCGAGAGTCCCAGACCTCTCCCCAGCTCCTCCGGCCGGGGGGAATCCCAAGGGGTTCCCCGGCCAGGTCCGGTAAGAAGTCCGCTCCGACAGCTTCTGGCGTTTTTAAAAAGTATCCCAGGGGCACGGTAAGGGTCGGAGATGTTTAGTCTATTTAAATTCTGACTATATAAAACGATTTCTTCGGTTTTAAAGTGTGAAGTAAACTCCGACGAAGTAAAATCCAAGCGGATCCCGTTCACGTTCATGTGTTTGTTTACATTTTTTTTACCTGCCAAAATGGCGTCTACTAACTGAGAGTCACGTGGGGTCCGGAGCTCTATGGTGGTGCTGTTGATGAATTTACAGGAAGCTACTTCCTGACCAATCACAAGCTTGCAGTCTCCATCACTTTCGATGGATAGTTAAAAATTTGGGCATGTCTCATCACCCTCTTCGAGTCTGTCTGAAAGCCCTTGCGCCATCGCATAATGGCATTGCGTGTCTCTGCACCAATGCAGACAGAAAAGTATAAATTAGGCTTTAAGTGACAATGTATAGTTTTTACCATTAATCTCTGGAAATACCCATTGAAATGTTTTAGTAAATGAATTAAAAGATACACAGTTGTTGAAAGTTTTTGGCAGTTTCATAGCATATATCCATAAAAATCGGGTCTAAAATACACGGGAGCGAGTCTAAGTCTCTGAGCGACGCCATATTGGATGCTTCTACGGGAGCCTGTGAGGACAAAATTCGTTTACTGATTTGTAACAAATGGTTACGTTGTTGTTTGTACACATTGTCTCTGAGCAACGCCATATTGGATGCTTCTACGGGAGCATTTGCAAAAAATGTTTACGTTGTTGTTTTACATCTTCACTCGATGCCAATGATGAATGGGAGTCTGATGTTCTTGTCACTTTGCTGGAGGTTGCGCTCCCAGGGATTTTTGACCCTAATGGCCATCCATTGGTATGGTCTTACTTGAACACAAAAATAATGCCTTCTTGCAATGGTTTAGGTATCTACTGCCCCCTATTGCCAGGGAAAATACACACTGTCACTTTAAGTCATCGTTTGGCGACCGAGAGAAAATGGTAGCTGGTTCCGTCTGTGAACAGTTGAGCTAACTTACCTGGAAGATAAGCTACCACCGAAGCGAGAAGAGGTGGTTGAATGATGCGTGCATTGGGACGCATGTGACGTTAGCGTCACAGTCACTGGCCAGTCAAGAATGGCGTAGTAGTGTAAGTGCTTCTGAGGAATCTGCTATGGGGCGTATCCCATAGTGAGGCAAACATTTTGTTAAGAGAACTCTTGATTTACAACCAGTTTTCTCTCACAACAATAAAAATATTTGCAGGTCTCTGGATCCCAAATTTAGTTTCTGTAAATCAGAATGTACAAAAAGACCATTTGAGAATAAATTGCAACTAGAACATTTGTGTGGCTGTTGCATAACTCACAGCTATATGCCCCCTTTATATATTTTAAACTTTTCACAAAAGATTCACGTATCAATTTATTGTGATTCCAACAGAAATGTATCTTATTTTCTCTAAAATTATGAGTCTCCAGCTAGCTCACTGAAACTCCCTAAAAGATAACTTTAGTTGTCCGTGTTCTTCTAAAAGCTTTTAAAGTCTCTTTCCAGAGTATTTCTCTCATCCAGAGGCACCATCTAGTGGCTGACGAGCATATCTCTTGATCTGTTTTTTCAAGATGGCGACTTCACATTTCTTGTTTCTGAATGTGCTTCTGTAGCCGACAAACAGTATTATTCACATGTCATGTTGTGTTCTCATATTCTTCTCAGTGGCCTAGTGGTAGAGTGTCCGCCCAGGGACTGGGAGATCGGAGTTCAAATCCTGGTTGGGTCATACCAAAGACCTTAACAGTGGGACCCAATGCCTCCCTGCTTGACACTCAGCTTTAAGGGGTTGGATTGGGGGTTAAACCACCAAATAGTTCCCGAGCGCAGCCACAGCTGCAGCTCACCGCTCCCCACAGGGAGGGGTCAAAAGCAGAGATGAATTTCAACATTGTGTGATAAATTAATGGTTTATGTTTATATTTTAAAGACTTACTTGTCCATGAAAAATTCATCAACTCTTCATCAGCAGAGGTAGTTTCTTAAATTTGAAGCATGTAAGTAGTAGTCTAATGCTATTGGTTAGTTCTGGTCGGCGCTCGGTAGGGGGCGTGCTTAACACACACAAAAAAGACGTATCACTTTTACAGATTTCTGAAAAATCATGCATCATTCCTGAAAGAGGAAAACTCCAGAAAGATACTTTAATGCATCTTTATTACTCAAATGCAGCTCAGGTTAATATTAGCTTCACATCCAGGAGGGCTGTAACTGTTGGTGAAAGTCCCAGAGGGTTGTGTGTTGTGGACGTGTTTGTAGGAGTGTTCAACATTTTATCTTGTTTGTTCCATGTAAACCTGGCTAGAAAATCCCATATAATAGTTTGTATTTTATAGATTCTGTAGATTAAAGTAAAAGAACTGCCGCTGGTATAGATTAACAGCAACATCTCTGCAACACTCAGGTCCTGCTCACATCTGCATGTTTCATTAATCCTTGGAAAAAAGGTCATTTGCAGATTTCCCGCTGATAGTTTACAAATCTGTGACTGTGGTTTGCAAAGCACCGCCCGTGCCCTGCCTGCAGAGTGAAAGGCCTATTCTGTGTGTGAAATATGAGCCTCTGAGCTGATTTTTTGTTGTTTGTACTGAAACCAGAATATGAAATGACAACAGGAGGCCGAGAAGTCTCCGGGAGCTGTTATAAAAAGCACAGCAGACGCTGAGGAGGACCTAGGTCTTCATGAGTGTCTTAGATGAATGTGTCGTCTCAAATTAGTGTCCACAAGATCTAGACTAAAGCAGAATATTGATATAAGCTAATCTCATGGCTCATGTTGGTTTTGTTCAACATCTTTGTCTTGAAAATGCAGGATGACATCATGAAAAGGTTTGTTTTTATTTTTTTGGGTGTTTGGCCTCATTTTAGGTTTCTGAATTTCAAGACAAGCCCCATTTCTGTATGTGTTCAACTAAAACTCGGTTCTCTAGATTACATTTCAGCAAATTGATCTGCAACATTTAGCTTTAGGTTTTAATATTATTCTCTATTTGGACCGTTTTAAAGTCTTTTATTGTAATTACCATCCAGATTGTTTCCTGAACAACCTCTGTTAAAAAAAAGGTTAAATCCAACCAGACTGATATGCTAACAGCTAGTCAGAGTGCAGTCAAGACTAGTGTTGCTGCCATACTTAACTCATGAACTGCCAGCTGTTTCCTGATCAGAAAAGCCCTTTGCTGCCAGCGTTTTTCAGCATTTTCACAGTTTTTGCCAACGCCAAAACAACCAAAACAAAGCGGAATCTCATCTCTTACATTAGGAAGAATCTGCGCGTTTCGAGCGTTATCCGTTCTTTCATAATCCGTTGTTGAATTGTGATCGGCAGAAGCTTTTCCGGTTTGCGCCACACTTTTTTACAGCAACGGCCCAAAACGATCTCCTAACACATGGATGTTCTGCTTCCTGATCACGTGACGTGTGATGTACGCAGATGAAGATCGGCTTTAGAGCTGAGATGTTTGTTCACATGGTGCGGGGGCTCGTTCCGACGCCCACACAGTAAAAAAAATGCAAATGACTACTTAAGTTGTCAATGGCAGTGAATGAGTTAAATGGTTACTGTCTCTTTAAGGTGATTCAGGTGGTCAATTCTATTTCTTGATTCTAATAATAAAGTATGTTTTCACCTTTGTTTTGTTATTGTGGTGTTTAATGTTTTATGTTGTTCTGCTCATGTGTCGTCGTGTTTAGCACCACACCAACTTTAACTCAGTTGCCCGGTCCAAGAGCAGAGAGAAGGAAGTGGAGAAGAAAGAGACAGAGATCACACAAGGCCGACCCAAAGAGAAGAAGGAGGAAAAAGAACGAAAAGAAAGGAAAAGAGTGAGCGTCCTGCAAGTGATTGTTATTGTTGTCTATCAGCCACGGAGCTGAAAGGATCACCTCCGTGTTCGTTTCTGTTTCAGGATCACATCGTTACAGACCGAGAGGCAAGCCTAGAGTCCAAGCGTAAAAAGGATGAGAACGGAACCAGTGAGTCATTGTATTTATTTTTTTCCCTCTCTTAAATTTCAGATGCCTTTGCTTTAGAAGTCAATTAATTTTAACTTCCATCCATCCATCCATCTTCTGAACCCGCTTGTCCACGTAGGGTCGCGGGGGGGCTGGTGCCCATCTCCAGCGGTCAATGGGCAATCAGGCGGGGTACACCCTGGACAGAGAGCCAGTCCATCGCAGGGCAATAAATTTTAATTTCTTAAACTAAATGTTTTCTTCCCAGATTCGGCTAAAAACAGTCCTTCCTGTGACTCTTCACTGTCACCCGAAAAGGAAAGAACCAAAAGATCCAAATCATCCAGCAAGGAGAAGGCCGAGTCGGTGAAACCGGAGCGAACTTCCTCCGGAGGCAAAAAGGTCTGTTCAGCTCAGCACCGTTTACATCAGGGATGCTTCATACTGGGAAAATTCATGTAGCCATTTATTTCTAACTCTAATATAAAAAATACAGAAACTTTTAGCAAATGCCTCGTGTAGCACTTCAAGTTTTACCACACTGCTGCCATCATGTTGGTAACTAATCTGTTGGTGATTTTTGTACAGCGGGATATAAATTCCTGGGTCAGATCGGCATTTTTTGGCAACCTAATTAAATCATAACGTCCCTCTGAAGGGCAAAATCTTCAGCTATTAGCCAACAGCTCAGAAGTACCACCCCTTTTCTCACAAATAGCTGTTGACTGACGCATCAGAGCCAATGAAAATCAGAAAACAGCAATATCTTACATAACCAACGCCTTGTGGTCTGCCTCCTCAAATGGGCTAGGAACGATTGTGATGGGTGTGCCAGGAACCCTTAACAGTAGACAAGAACATGTTGAGTACTCAGACATGGCATCAGAACCGGTGATGTGACGAACACATCAGTGTGATGTTGATGTTCAGACGTGACGTCATGCAGCTGTAGTTTACGTCCTAACCAGACTCCATATTTAATTGCCGGGTTTGTCTATTAGGCTCAGTTTGGGTCTGTTTTCAGTACTTGTCTAACACGGAGGGAGAAAGCTAACCAGTTTAAACTCCTTCTTGTTCTTCCTGCAGGAGTCCAGGCATGAAAAAGAGAAGAAGGATAAGAGGGACAGCAGCAGTGGGAAGGAGGAAAAGAAGCAATATCCTTCATTGTAGACTCGGTGTGTGTTTATTTTTGCTCCGTTCACCTGAACCAAAGCAGCTGTGGTGTCCTGATTTGTTCTGGGTTTAGGTTAGGACATTTTTCCTGTTGCTGCGCCCAACACTGAACTTGGTTCACTTTTTGTTTCCTTTATGAGATTCTCTCTTTAGTTTAACTTGGCTCATTTCCCCCACCTACCTCCCCACTCATCCGTGATGTTTGTGCTGAGTTACCCAGACAAACCGCCCCACTTCTACCCAGCTTTATTAAACTAGTGTCTAAAAACGGTTTGGTGTCATTTCCTTTGGAAGAACTCAAACCTTTCTGCTCTGTCTCAGCTGTTTTTGACAGTTCGTAGTTACAGATCACGGTTTCCCTTAACAACCACACCCATAAATCTGACAAGCACAGATAATGTGCACTAATCAGTGAAGGTAAGGACCACTCAGCTGGTTACAGATCAGCTCTACTGCTGCTAGATTTGAATCTTCTGACGCGTTTCCTGCCCTCTTCGACCCACGTGTCCAGCAGCAGATCTGGTGAAGCTGTGCTTCTGCCTGCGAGACTCCTGTAACTCCAACTGCCACGTCGATGACCTAGCACCCTTTTTTTTTCTTCTTTTTGCCCACAACTTGTTAGCAGTAGTTAAAAGCCAGATCATCCCTTATTTACCCAGTTTCAGATGGAAGCTTTCATTTTTCTTTATTAATATTATTATCAGTATGGACACAACATGCTGCTGTAATCACAGTGTTATTTTCCCAGAAATGTGGTTACTGTATGTAAAACCCCCATGGTAGCATCTGGTCAGATTCAAAAATCCCAAACTTGGAAAATGTTGCTTGTTGTTTAGTTTTTGTACTTTATCAGGCCTTGCTTTTTGCTCGTTTTATTAGATTTAATGTGCTTTCCATTCTCACCTCATATCTTTTTGAGAAACTTTTATTTATTTATCTGCTCCTTTTAATCACCAGAGCATAAGTGAGGAAAAACCCAACGGACCAGTTTGTATATTGTGTACATTAATAAAGACGGTAACATGAACTTCACAGCATGTTATTTCTTTTTCTATTTTTCGTCTCAGCGTCCCATAAGGTTTTGTGATTCTGTGTTAATCAGGTTTTTACATAATTTATAAAAGTGTCAGTTCAACTTTAATTCAATTGTAGAGTTGTAAAGAAGGAAGAAGACCATGCTGACGCTCTGTACTCCAAACTGTTTCTGAAATGACTTTGGAGATTTTATCTGCTGTACTCAATGAGTGTACTTTTTTAAGGAAAAAAAAAGAAACCCAATAAATAATAGTTTTCTTAGTGTGTCACTTTGATTTTGCCTTTTGTCTTATTTTCTACAGTAAACTAATTTAAACTTATTTGTAAACCAGCAGTTTTATACAAAATACACAGGAAAGATAGGGCTGGGCGATATGGCCTCAAATCTACATTGCGATATAATCGGAAGCATGTGCGGTAACGATATATATTGCATGTATTTTTTCCTCTGTTTATATATGTCAAAATGACATGCTTTTAAATATCCTCATGTGGCAAATATATGCCACTTGAGGCATATAGGCCTCCTCCTCCACCCACTCCATGCTTGCAGTCACTGCCATTCTGTTGTCCCAATGTAAGCAGGGTGCACATCTTAGTGACACCATGTGTTATCGCGGTATTGCGATATAGCCAGAAACTTATCATTACCCAATTTTATATCGTTTATATTGCCCACCCCTACAGGAAAGGTGTATTTACAATTGTAGATTGTACCCCAGTTTTTAGGTACCACTTTATAACAAGGTGCTAATAAATGTTTATAGATATGTTATAACATTTTCTGTAACACTTTATAATTTATTATGCATTAAGGGTAAGAAAGAGAAGTGACCAGGTTCTGGCCAAAAAGTGAGCCAAGTCTGTTCACCTATTATCTTCATTTAGAGTTGCTGTATTAAACATTTCAGACTAAGTTAAACCCAAGAAGCACAGTGAGTGTACTAAAGACGGTACATTTATTTGTTTTTAGACCTCAAGTTTAGGATCTCAATCTTGGATGTAGTTTCAGTTTCTGCCACTAGATGGCTGTATGCTGGTGAAGGTTCTCAGTCATCCAGGTCATAGTAATCCAAAAGGGTTTGAATGAAGGCAACTGGACTTCTTTGGTTTTTTGAAGATGTTTCGCTTCTCGTAAGAGGGTCAAAGATAAGGTCCTGCCCCAAGTGGAGGAGTTTTAAGTATCTCGGGGTCTTTTTCACAAGTGAGGGAAAGATGGAGCGCGAGATTGACAGGTGGATTGGTGCTGGGTCTGCAGTGATGCGGATATTGTACCCGTCTGTTGTGGTGAAGAGAGCTGAGCCAGAAGGCCAAGTTCTCATTACTGATTGATCTGCATTCCATCCCTCACCTATGGTCACGAGCTCTGGTAGTGACCGAAAGAACGAGATTGTAGATACAAGCGACCAAAATGAGTTTTCTCAACAGGGTGGCTGGGCTCTGCCTTAGAGATAGGGTGAGAAGCCAAGTCATCCGGGAGGAGCTCAGAGTAGACCCGCTGCTCCTCCACATCGAGAGGAGCCAGTTAAAGTGGCATCTAGTTAGGGTGCCTTCTGGATGCCTCCCTGGTGAGGTTTTCTGGGCACATGATCCAACCAGGAGAAGACATAAAAGAAGACCCAGGACACACTGGAGGGACTATGTCTCTCGGCTGGCCAGGGAACGCCTTGGGATTTACCCAGAGGATCTGGCCCAAGTGGCTGGAGGGGGAAGTTTGGGGCTGCTAATGCTACTGCCTCCGTGACTCGACCCCGGATAAGCGGCCAGAAATGGATGGAAGAGGAGCTTTGTCAGTTCTTGCTGCAATAAGGGAGGGTTGAGTTTATATACCGTGGCTGTCTATTGTTGCTTAATGGTCAGAAACACCTATGAATGCACCTCCTTCCTACCCCTTGAGTCATGTCATTAGGTTCTGTTGTGTTGGAGTGATTGTTTTGGTTAGATGCAGGAGGGTGTGACCTTGGCGATTTCTGAATCAGATTTAACGCTGCATTGTAGGTGCTGGAAAAGTGAAGTTTCAAGACAAATTCTGGACATTCCTTCATTTCATGTGAGCTGACCTGAACAAATATAAACACTGGCCCGACCTGACCCCTTGAAGTGATTGCCTACAAGAGATCTGTAAACCAGTTAGTCTTCATTACAATTAGCATTTATAAACTTAACTAGAAAAATTGCATTTATTGCACAAATGCTGTTTGAATGCTGGATAGCTGAAACTGTAAGCTGAAGCTGCTGAACAGCTGAACTGAAGCTGAAATTAAGCAAAACTGTCAAAATGAGCTGAATGTTTTGAAAGATGTAGAAGCAAAAAGCACCAACAAGCAAATAAAGCACAAAAGTAAGTGAAGAATAGAGAAAAAATAATGCTAAATAGCAAAAAAAAAAAACTTACATCTGTGAACACTGTATAAAAATCTGGACAGCTTAAATGTCTAAACACCTGTTATTTCAGTTAGCCAAGTTTAACAGTTTAATCTTTACATTTAGCTGGACTGTGAAATTAGAAGTTTATGCAAAATTTGGTAACTGCTGAAGTTGTTGAATAGCTGAAGTAAGCTGAAACTAAGCTAAACTGTCAAATGAGCTGAATGTAGTGAAAGATGTGAAAGCAAAAAGCACCAAGAAGCAAAAAAAAGCACAAAAAGTAAGTGAAGAATCAAGAAAACTAATCCTAAATAGCAGGAACCCGGGACCTTCTTGATGCGAGGCAACAGCTCTAACCATTGCGCCACTGCAAAGAGTATAACTATTCAGTTTGACCCATTTAGATTAGAACATTTCAGCCTCCATGTCTACATGAAGCTTTGAAAAATCTTAATGTTTTAATAAACATTTAGGGAATTATAATATTATGAAGGAGAAGGAGGAGGATTTGAAGGGGATGAACCTGTATTGGTAAAGATAAAAGACTTCCTTTGTAGAAACACTAATTTCTTCCAAACACTGTTTTTTTCCTTAAAAGAAGGGGAAATTTGCGCCCTCCGGTGGCCACAAACAGCAGTAAGGAATAAAGAGAAGGTGGGAAAATGCTGCCCTCCGGTGGCTGTTTGCTGTTAATGCACCTATTTCATTTTAGCCTTTTAGAATAGATCAATTCAGCCTCCTTGTCTTAATGAAGCTTTAAAAAAGTCTTAAGAAAAGTCTTAGAAAATGCAAAGTCCATGCAGAAAGATCCCATGCTGGGAAGCGAACCTGGCATCTTCTTGATGCAAGACATCAGCTCTAACCACTGCGCCACTGCGAAGCCAGGTCACAACTATTCCATTTTTGCCATTTAGAACAGATCATTTCAGCCTCCTTGTCTTAATGAAGCTTTAAAAAATCTTAATGTTTTGGGATCTTTCTGCATGGAGTTTGCATTTTCTAAGACGTTCGGTAGATCCCTTTGGCTGATTAGTTAGAAAGTAGGAAATCTAGGAAACAGTTTTTCTGGAAGACGGAGAAAACATGCAGCATGCAGGAAGTTTAGAGAGAGAAAGGGCAGGAAATTATTCAAATAAAATCAAGAAAAAAAGAAAAAAGTAGGCAGATTTTTCGCATTTTTACCTGCGAAAAGCAATAATATATAAGCATTTAATATTTATACATGTGAAAGAATCAGATCACCCCAGAAGTCAGTCCCACATCCAGGGCCGTATCAAGGCATTTGGGGACCAAGGCAAATATGGTCTTGGATCCCCCACCACCTCACTCCTTGCTCAGTTAATACAAGATGGCAGCGTGCTGAGTACAGATTGTTGTTGCTTTTATTTAATAAACAATCATTCAAAAGAACTGTTTTTAACAGCAGTCCTAGCTCAGACACCACACCACTTTCCACATATATGTCATGAGCTCACTGAGCGTCAGATTACCAGATTCATACTGAAGTTGTTTTGGTGAAAGTAACTTAAGGTAATGCAAAAGTAGTGTAATGCCTTACATTTTAAAATCAGTGATCTTGTAATGAATTACTTTTAAATGAGGGTAACAAGTAATAAATAATGCATTACAGTTTTGAAGTAACTTGCCCAACACTGGTTTTAAGTGTATAGAGCTGGTTGGTTAGTTGGTTGGTTGGTTGGTTGATTGGATGGATGGATGGATTCCTTAGGCCTAGCCAATCGATTAGATGTCTCACACGTATGGGTGTGTAATTCCATTCAGCCAGAAGATGATTGACCTTTCTCAACCAATCAGGGGGCTAGGTGGGAGCGGGGCACTTTCCCACCTTCTGACGGTCAATCAAATTGAACTTGTTTCTAGTTTTAAGTACAGATAGTTCAAAAAGATCAAAAACAGGAGTCTGTTATTGGCTCAATGTTCAGCTTTTTAATATCCATTCCTGTGAGACTTGGTTAAAGTGATATGTAGTTCTTTGTGTTGCCATGGTAACAGATAACGCATTTAAAATTGAATACAAGATTCCTGAGACCAAACTGGTCGATTTGATGTGTCATATATATGGGTGCCGGATCCTGATTGGACAGAAAATGGTTGAACACTCTCAACCAATCAGAGAGCAGCACTGCCTTTTCACCCAGCTATTTTTAGGCCTGCAGCTGTACTCCTGTGTAATGTAATGAGAAGCCTTTAAATCTGTCCTTCAGATGTGAAATTGGACCTGTCAAACTTCTCATCACCATTCGAAAAGTACTGCACCGAATTGAAAATTTCAAAAAGCATGAGCGGCAGAAGGCTTTGTTGGTCATCTGTGTGGATTTTTATGTGCCTACCGTGAATTGTCTTGAAGCTATGACGTTTCAATGAGGCAGAATCTGGGTCTCTCCTCCTTCTGAGGCTTGGAGCGAAAGAACGGTAACACTTACAGAAAAAATGAAACCCATTCTGAAAAGCGGACAAAAGTTCCAAATGTTTGAGTTATAATTTGTTTTGGTAGTCCAAACGTTCTGGGGGTAGTAAAGAGTTGTTCACAGAAGATGTGAAGTTCAAAAGTTAGAGTGCGGAACTTTCAGTTTAGAGTGGGGAGAGACATTTTTTTAATTTGAATTTTCTCAAACAAATGAACCGTACGACCACAATGTTTGGAGTACAGTCATGAATTATAGCTCAAAACGAAGGTATATTCGTTAGATGTAAGCCAGCATGTGTCTCATTTCAATCTGACCTACGGTTCTCTCGGGACAACGCCAGAAATGGAGCAAGGGAGGGTCACTGCTCCTATCTTTCCCCATTATAACTTTTGTGAATTTTTCTGAAAATTTCAAGTCGTACCTCAACTTCTACCTGCGATTTTACAAAAACTGTAAAAGATATTCAAAAAAGCCTCTTTAATATGTTAAACAGGAAAGTCTTGTGAGTTTGTTAAACTTTGAATGAAGTCTCTAAGTTAAAAGGAACCCAATAGAGTTTTAGGTCAAAAAAGTGATAGGAATTTGCTGAAAATTGACCAATCCCATTCATTTCAATGGGAAAATTTTCGCAGAAAAAGCTTAATTACTCGAAAAATTTTAAAGATATCAATGCCAAAAGTAATAGCCGGAAAGAGCTTAACGAGCTGAACGTTTTGATATAAAATTGTTGAAATAGCTCAAAATTTGAAGAAGAGGTTCAAAAAGTGTACGGAAGCAGAATAAGAAGAAAAGAGGAAAACAATAGTTTAACAGCATTCAAACAATTATAAATAAAAGAAGTCATTGAGCACAATGGCTCCCAATTAGGGGTCTGCGTCTCCCAAAGAGGTCCCCACGAGATAGTACTTTGTGAGGTTACCAAGATCATATTTGTAAAATCCAGTCGTCTAATCAACACTCTGTATGAGGGTTATAATCAGTATAGAGTTTTTTTTAATAATCACTTTTATATGAATGCAGGTAGGAGTTGATGTTGGGGGTCCTGGCTCAGGCTAAAAGGGGTCCTTGTGGAAAACAGATTAGGAGTGGGAATCACTGAATTAGCATCTAATTTTGTATTTTATCTGTCAAAGGGAGCCTTGCTCTAAAATGTAACGCATGGAACTATTTATTACGTGTGGTGAACATTTAGAAACGCCAAAAATGAGTCTGTTAAAAAATGACCAATCATGAATAAAAACTTGCTTTTATTAAGGAAATGTACCAAAATCCTTTGTACACAACCTCTTCACAGAGGCTTATAGTGTCCATACATGCAACTCTCGTGGCTGAGGTACTGTTACAATAACTGGAAAAACCCTAAAAACCAAACCGGATCCAAAGTCACTTTTTAATCCAAACTAAACCCGGTCTACTTCTGAGTTGCAGTTTGGGTCAACCATTGCCAGATTCACATGCACTTTATGTGGGTTGAAAAGAATCAGAGTCTGAAATAATAAACACCTGGTCTGTAGCTGTTCTAAGGTGTCCTTTGGATTATAAAAAGTATATAAATGTTTGATTTTGTTGCTCTTCTTCAGTGTACAGCTCACCTGCTGCAAAAAGCATAAACACAGAAAGCAAAGAAGCTCTGATGGTGTCAAGAAGAAACAGCATTTAACTGAGAACAGCGTACAAAACCAGGAGCTGGTTCTCCTTTATCACACAGGGTTCCTTTCTCGTCTCTAAAATATTAAGCATTCCTTTGATTTTTAACAATATGGCAAAACTTGATTAGACCTCTTCCTCTAAAATAGACTCCCTTCCAAATGTGGCAGTTTAAACAAAGTCACATATGTGATTTAAATCAAACATCTAAGTTAATACAAAGCAGGTTATGGAAATGAAACCATTCAGGCGGTTTTTGGCCACATTTTGGTTTTTCTGAGTTAAAAATGCTGCCAGTTTGATGTGTTCTCAACATTACTGATCGATACTTGCCCTAAATATTCTGACACTGAAAATAGCCTTATATTAAAAACAAGAAAATGACTTTACCTCACTAAATATAACATTTATCCAACTGAAGGTTTCACCACAAAAAATTGTCTTAAAAGGATTCCGATGACTTTTAGTTACCTTGTGGATTCGTTAGCAAATCATGGCTTTTTTTCTTTTTCTGTCTTGAAAATATAAAACAGTAATTACAACAGTTCATCATCCACGTGTCATCTGAAGCAGTTTCTCGCCACAGATTTTAGTTTTTCTTATTTTCAAGTGAATTTGAATTTAATTGCATTGCGATGGCGCCAAAATGCTCTTTAAGGCACTACAAGAGGCAAATCCCATGTTTCCTATAAAAGTCCTGCTGTGCCATTGTCCTCTGTAAGTGTGACGGGGTCATGAACTCCCAAATAAGCACTTGTTGACACAAAGACTTTAGTGTCCAAGCTGATGACGTGGAAGGCTGTTGCCTCCAAGATGCCAGCCTTCAGGGGTGTTGGGGTCACACAGGGTGGCTGTTTCCATCCAGACGCACCAGGAGGAGTCAAATCAGCTCTGCAAAGAAGAGAAACACATAAAACTGTTAGAAATCACGACTCTTATCACTGACTGTACCACAGGGAGGATGTGAACACTGGAATTAAAGTAGAGTGGAACCTTAACCCAAACCCTATGAATGCTATTTCTAGAATAAAGTCTAAATAGAAAAAAATATATGTTATTTTAAGTGTAGCTGACCTCCACTGTGACCCCAGTTGTTCTGATTTTCATTATTATTGTAATCTAAGGTTCTGGTTGTGTTTTATAGAGTCTACTACAGTAAATAAGGTGTTTTATTAAATATGAGGTGCAGATATTTGACTGCATCAACTATGGAAGGCAAAAGCCTTCTTGGATCTTTCACAATAAGAGTCTCTAACATTCACATGTATCCTCTGATGCTAAATTTGGTTTGTTACTTTCATTCTAACTAAAAACATTCTTAACCCTTTAAAGCCAGATACGTGAAATAAAAGTCAGGAAAATTTTAAATACTGATTTATTTTTAGGATAATGCGAATAAAACATTTTGTGTAATTACTGAAACGTTTTATTAGTTAAACGTGGAACATTACATCAGTAATAAAATAAATAATTGGCACTTACATCCTGCAGTACTTAGATCTACCACAAGGAGGCAGAAGACTTTAATGACCCAATCCTGTTCAAGGTATTGTCCCTTTGCGCGTGATGTCACGCCACTCATGTGACCGCCCCCTTCGCCATGATGGACGGCAAAAAGACCATTGGAACTCTAGTGAAGCTGGTCAAAACAAGACAGTTTGTAGCCTTTTATCGCTTTTATTTAGTTGATTTTACAGTAAAATGGTTTTAGCTTGCTGCGTGGTTGGCTGCACTAAAGGATGTAAACTCAACTCGTTTTGTTTTTTTAATAACTTTGATGGAGACTGAGGATGGAGATGAACTGCCGCGTCAAGTGGACTAGCAGCCCTCAGATTTGCAGCGAACATGTTTTTACCGGAACGTGTTTTTACCGGGTAAGATTAACATTCATTTATTTCACGAGGAAGACAGGGACAGGGATAAATGTGATGTGTTTATACTAGTTATTATAATCCTGATGGATGGGTATTTCACCACGGAGGTTGTGCGCCGTCCACTGTAGTGTAAAGCGAGATAATAATTAACAATATTAAAGCTCCGATGTATGATTACGTGTGATAAAATTACGTCATTTATTTATTTATATGAGCGTCGCCGTTCAGAGATCTTCTCATTTCGGTGTGAGAGCAGCAGCTGAACCCGGTAACCCCACCAGTAACAGAAGCTGGTAGAGATCCGGACTTTTTAACAATCAGCTTTGGTGTAAAGTGAAACGCTGTTTATAACATAAAGTTATAAATCCAGAGGGGTGAATTTAGGCAAAGTCAGAAACATGTTTACAGCTGCAGAGAGAATGTAAGCTAACGTTGGTAAGCTAGTTAACATACCACTCTCTATGAGCCCCCGCTAGATGCGCTACTTCTTCTGATAACTGAACTGGGCATGAACTAGTTGAAAGAATGCTGGAAGAGTTTTGTTTTTGTTTTGATCGTGAAACAATTTCAGGCTCTACTTTTCCCTTTGTTTAGTACTCATGTCGCTTACTGTTAACATGCTTTTGCCGTCCAGCATGGTGGACCCACGTGATTAGGTGACGTCGGTGCAAAGGGTCAATACAGGTCATCAGCAAAAAAAAAAAAACTTGCTCTTAATTATCTTCCCTTTTATGGAATTGTCTGGGCTTGACGGAACCTGTGACACGGTCAAAATGGCAGTGGTGGCCACCTCCCATTTGGCCTCAAAAAAGTGATATTGGAGCCTATGGAAAGAAGATGTCCACATATATTATGTCGATGCGAGGCAATATATATATATATATATATATATATATATATATATATATATATATTTATTTATATATAGCCATGCCCTGATGTGGGGGCTGGGGGGTGCGTCGACATGGTCGGGACATAGAAGGGGGTGCGCGGCTAAATAAGTTTGGGAACCACTGGTCTAAAACATGCAGGAAACGTGCTGGAAGCAGACTCCAGTGCTGGGGTGTCAGCTCCACTTTACTAAGTCCAACAGGGGAGTGTGATTTTCTGGTCACAGAGGAAGGTGGGAGTCTGAGGGACATCTCATTAGCCCTGTAAAGGCTCATTTCAGCACATAGTGGCTCAAGAAAATTATTTAAAAATATGAAAAAGTTGCATAGTATGGATTTAGAGACACACAAGTCTATGAAAGTTGTGATGATGTGGAGCAGATATAATTTATTTAGAGTTTAAGAGTTAAAATTTCAACAATAGTTGAAATTTCCAGAAATTAATTAATTGAGGTAAAACTAGAAAGTTGCCTTTCTAGTTTTACCTCAACATTTCGACTTTAATCCATTTTTCTCTTTACAGTAGCTCTAATTTGTTGTTGTTGAACCATAAAAAGCATGTTACTGTAAAAAAATAAATAAAGAATCTATATAATGCTGAAATGCTGCGATGGGTCTGATAACAGGAAACAGAAACATACCTTTTAGATTTTAACGCTCTCTGTCCCATAAACGTTGTAGCCTTCACGGTACGTGGCAAAGTTCTGGACATTTGAAGGAGGGGCTGGCTTAAAGTTCTGGGCATTCTTTGTCAGCTTCAGTCTTTTGGTTTCTTGCCGTGACTTATAGCAGAACTCTATCAAAGCCACGGTCATAGCCAAGCCGAGCCCTCCGACCAGAATATAGAAGACTCCTGCCACATTGCTCAGGCTTAATGCACTTGTCTTGTCCTGGTGGAGGTAGAGACCTTTGTTAAGGCTTTTTAAAACTGACTTTGTGCTTAAATCTACAAACACAACACCAGAACCTACATGCACTTAGCTACGCTTGAACAATCAGTTAATCTGAGCAGAATAATAACTGTGTTCATACTCTTAATGATATATAACTGCTTCATTTGACCTGTTTCAAATATATCTAACTGGAGTTTTCTGTGCTCTACAGTGATGAGAAGGTGAATGTAGAGAGGCGCACCGACTAATCTGCTGATGGTCTCTTTACGAGGCCACATATAGAGGAAGGCGGTCGTGGTCGTACAGGTCTACAGATCATCCTGAATTTGCTATCATAGCTGCTGAACTTAGCAAACTCTACATCTGTGGAGTTCAAACTGTAACAAGGTGGAACTGAACCATTTCACTGCTATTAAAAGCCAAACTGTCATGCTGGAATTCATTAATGTGAGTTTTATTATTTGCGTTAACATCTTTAGAGCTGGTCAATGAATGCTGTATATCTTCAGAGTCACCTAACAGGGATGAAAGCTTATTTTATTTGGATTTTGTCTCTTAAAGAAATCTTTATTCTCTTTTCTAACTTCCTGAGTATATAAAGGCCAATTTGGGGTCATAAAAGGATGAATGACTTTGAAAAATGTAAACGTGCAACGGGAACACTGTGTAAAACGCTGCTAGAAACTAATTTCTACTGTTTTCAAAGAATTAAAATCACACTGAGCATATTTGGAATAAACTAAAAGTGGAAAAAATATCCTGTCATTTAAGATGGAATTAGCGTGAAGTTATCTTAACATCTAAAGAGAAATAACAGACGCATGTTTGTAGTTGCAGAGGTGCCCCTAGAAATATATGGGGACAGGGGGTGGATTAAAAATTTTGGAGTGGAACACCAATTTGGCCCCTGTGGTAACTCTGGGAGAGTTTAGCATGCAGCTGTGCATTACATTGCTCATTCACCATTTTTCATTTAAAAAGGGGAAAAAATAACAAAAGGCCTATGCATTGAACATATTTAGCTCAAATTTAAGAAAAAAAAGACAAAATATCTCAGTTTTTTTAAATATTTTTTTCAAACATTACTGTTTTAGACTTGTCTGTTGCCTTCTGAACAAAAACATCCACAAAAACATTTGAAAATGGCTAGCCACTTATTAAAGATTTACTAATTAAAATGTTCGTAAAATTACTGTCTTTATTGATATTACCATAATTACAGAAGACGTATATATGGTTTTTGTGAACATGAATGTGATTTATTAAGTGGAGTGTGGTAGTCTTCCCTGTGGGGGCCAGTGGAGTGCCCAACAATTTTCCATGGGGGGCCATGGCCCTCTCCCGGCCACCCCTTGGGGGTACCACTGCATAGTTCAGAAAGGCGCTGACAATAAGTCCTCTAGTTCTGGTGCTGGCTGGGCGAGGCGCTTCTGAGAGATGGAGACGTTTAGAACAAACCTTCATGCAGAATAAAGACGAGATAATCTGTAAGTGTTGATTTCTGTCAGCGCTGTCTGGTCCTCTAAACATCTGAGGTCTCCTAAATCTGTGAGAATAAGCCATAACGGCAACATTTCCGTTTAGCAATCTGAGTATAAACTTCAGATGAATGTGTGGTTTGAATTATTTACAAAGTACCAGAACGTTTCAGACATTTTGCACAGCGTCCCAAACGCGATTCACCTCCAAACAACTTCAGTACATATTTGGATGAAAATAGCAGTGTAATGGTTTCAGTCCTTGACTTTTCAGAATGTTATGGAGTGAATATGAGCTGTGGGGCATCATGCTGCAGCTTTAAGAGATGAGGTTGAATGTCAACAGACTAAACTACAGCAGGGGGTAAAGTTTACCACGTGTTGCTCTGAAGGTAAACTAAGGATGTGTTCAGGTAGATCATGCTATGATTATCATGTGTGAATATGCTTTACATGTTTGCACATGAACAGTTAAGTTAAAAAGCATTTTCCATCAGTATAAAAAGACCTGCAGCGACTGACCTTACTTCCAGAGTCCTTGGTTCCACATTCACCCTTATCGTACCACCATTTGTTTTTCAGCTTGTCTAAGATGCCTTGTTCACTGAGTTTCAATACTGCAAGGTTTACAGGAGTTCTTCACGTGGGAAATAACATAAATAACATTGTATTATGTTATTTTATGTTATTCAACTTTTAAACTACTTTATACTGTACAAAGCGATAGAGTAGGGTCCTGGCCAACATCACACAGATAGCAAGCAACACTGCATTGTAGTGAAATATAAGACTGACGATCCATGACTAACCTAACATGCCAGACCCCACCTGTATCGCTTTGAGTAATCGGCACACACTGATCACAGAGGTGAGAAAAGACCAAAGTGGCTGCTGCGGAGCTTCCAGAGAGACGAGCGGTGATTGTCACACCTCTCTTGGCTTTCTGCAGCCTTGTTTGATGCTTAGCAAAGTGGATCTAACAGGAACCCTTTCTCGACTAACAGACACCCTCACAGCAGTCCTGTCAATTCTTGAACAGCTGTGGAGCTCCGAGTCTCACAGAATCACCCCTTCAAACATGGAGCCACTTGAAGCTGATTCAGACGTTAGAATACCAGGATTTTAGCTCACGGGTCTGTTTTTGTTTCTGCACATCGGAGGGATTTATTGGTGTCTGTTGTGCTGCAGACACATGAGATCAGGAAGGTCTGCTTAGTGACTAAAACCACGAGGAGGGAGGAAGGGGCTTTTCTGTGAGACGTTCTATTGTTTCCCTGACAGCAACATTTCTAAGCTTGTTTCCTTTCAGAATAAAAGCATCTGTGTCTTATCTATCAATAAATATATTGTATTCACCACCGTGCTTCTGCATGACAAATAAATATGTTTTTTTTCTGCTAATGGGTGAGTCAATGTTGAAGGAGGCAGGTGAGGTGTCCTGGTCTCCAGTCTGAGCTTTAAAAAAGTAAAATTATGATTGTTGTTGCTTCAGCACCATTGAAGGGAAACACCACTGCAAAGAGCAGAAACTAAATGCCAACTATTTATAGCAGCATGATATGATAATATTCACCTCAAGATGGCCGATTCTGACCTGCAGCTTCTGCTTGCCTTTTTAAAGTCAGACGTTGCATGTGAACTTTAATAGGGAGTTATTATTCTAAAGATATTTAATAATCGTATTATCGTATTAAAATCAACAACAACAACACTGAGGAGCATCTTAAGATTTAATTTACAAAAAAAATCCCAAAAGATATGAGTTTATCTAATTCCTTAAATTATGTGAGAATAAGAATACCTGAAGAGTATTCAGTGATTTTTATTGATTTGACTCCTTTAATCGCTTTATGCTTTATGGACTGTGATGCTCTTTGAGCTCCGACTGCTCCCAGACTCCAAAAATGGATCCTCACAAGTTGAAAAGATCGTTTCCGAAACAGCAGCTGTCTATTCAAAAGTTTGCATGAGTTTAATGGCTCACCAGAAGACAAATTTAGATGCCAGATATGTTTTCATTTAAATTTTATGCAACTGGCACCACCAACATAAAGCAGAAGGTCTGATTTTCACTGACTAAATATTTATAACAATATGTTAGTAGGATGAATGGATGGATGTTCATAGTCAGGATGATGCCTTCAAAAACACAGCTGGGTTCTCCTGATGACGTGTGTGTGTGTTTTCTATTTGTAAGCCATATGTGGCAAGGAAAATAAATTATATTCTAAAATGAACTGAATGACCTGCAACAGTCAACGAACAAAGGAGTTTAAACACACCAGCAGGTAGGGGTTGCATGACTTAAATTTTTTTTAAAGTCGACAGTAATGAAAATTGAGTCGACTTCGACTAGTCGTTGATGATGTCATACACCTGAAGCGGCATTGGGGGGTGGGGTGGTGGTGGTGGTGGGGGGGTCGGTAGGTTCGCTGGAGTTTTTGACAATTAAAATTGCGCCCACATTTTCTAAGTTAACACATCTCTTTTAACAACTGTAGTTTCTGCATCCTACTTCAGCCCCCCCCCTCCCCCCCCGCGCGCGCAGAGGCTGCAAACTCACTGATGCGCCTGCAGCCTCTCAGAGTTCCTGCTGCTCTAAACATTAAAATAAGTATTTCATTTTCTGTTCCTCACTTCTGATTACCTTCAATGGTGTTTGTTTGTTGCAACCACCAGGTACAAAAACTAACTTGTTTTTATTTGACTATTTTTCTGTCCTGTCTGTTTATCATCTTCCTGCATCTCCTCTCAATCCTAAAGAAAAACTGCTACCTGCATTCATATATATTCACCTTATGAGTTACCTTTGAACTGCAGTTCTAAAAGATCTACCGACCGCAAAAACAGCGGAGTGCCGCTGCTCGCCGGCCGACAACAACGGGACCGTTTTTGCTGCAGAGTTCGTGCCGGAGCGGAGATAGTGGAATTTTGGGGGTGCGTCACCGGAGGACAAAACAGGTGAAGAACCTCGCTCCGCAGCAGCGAAACGCATCAGGCACAAATAGCAGACAGGAAACATTAAAGGAAATGAGCCGACATGAACGATAGCGTGTTTAATTTGTTTTTGAGGTGGTGACACCTGATTTGGCGGTGTTCAGGACGCAGATGTCTGGAGCGCATTAAAGATCAGAGCTTTGCAAACTGGTTAAAATTAGGATGGGGGTGAGGGGAAGGTAAAATTGCAAGAGGGAAAAGGTCACAGTTTGGTTAAATGTCCGTTTTACCGCCGGTGTCAGTACCGACGCTCTGGCACAGTGCGTCACCTCCGCCTCCCGACGCGCAGGGGCTCATCACCTGCTGTCTTTTCCGAGGACTGCATCTTGTCAGTCATTATCATGGGACAGCGACTAGTCGATGACAGACATAAAAAGTCACTACAGAGCCGTGAAGTTGACTAGTTCATACAACCCCTACCAGCAGGTAGAAACCACTGATCACAACCATAAAGTGTTTCTCTGTAACATGACCTTATTATTATCTATTTATTACTATTAGTATTGCTATTATTATATTTATGTGATTATTACTATGCATATTACCTAAAAATCAATTAAGATATTGCTTTGCTGGGATAAATATACACTTCACCAAAAACGTCAGCACCTGGATTTATTGATTTGGTCTGTTTGAGAACCCTAACCCAAGCAGAGAAAACATCTGAGGAGATGCAGAAAAGACTAAAAGTGGGTTAAGAACTGTCCAAAGCATTATTAAAACTGGTCTGAAGAGTCCAGATGGACCCTGTTCCAGAGTGATGGTGCATCAGGATAAGAAGAGAGGCAGATGAAGTGATGTAACATCATGCCTGTTTTTTTGGTTGTCCAATCATAACTTTAACTTTCAATCAGTCTGAAAAACAGGAAGTGATGTCAGAAAACACACACTGATGGGTAGAACACATGCAAACAGAGCGTGGACTCAATATCACACGTGGGATGAAATAAGGGAAAATGTAATGAAAGCATCATTAAAATGTTTAAAAGAGAGATCTGGATCTGAACATCGGAGCTGATCAGATTTCAGGAAACTTTGTTAACATTTCCTTCCTCGGTGGTCGTTACATACAATATATTTCCATTTCATTGTTACATCTCACGCGAATGCTTTCTCTGAGAGTGAAATAAGCAGAAAGAAATGTGGCAGTCAGGAGCGATGCTGTCATACGGATCATTTAATCTCTTTAACTGGACCTAAAAATGAAATGAGCTAGAGGAGAGGAGCTTTCTTTGTGTCACTCCTCTGCTGGAATCCTGCTCACTCGGGTTTGGATACCCAGAGAGGAGAACATCAAAGGTGGACCAGCCTCCTCACAGCCATCAAGATGCAAGCTGAGGAGCAGAAGCAGAGATGAAGCCAGAGTTATGACACTCTGCTGTCTGATCAGGGGTCTCACGTACAGAAGACTGAATAGAAAGAGATTATCACTAAAATGTCAGAAACACCGATTAAAAAAGGTTGGATGATCTAATACGCAAAGTAAAAATAAACTGCATCAAGCTTCCACATTCATTGCATGCAGCATGAAAAAAAGAAGATAAATAGCTTCCTGAATGCCTCTGTTTGGAGAAATAGAGTTCAAATCCTACATAACTGATGAGCTAACAGCTAGCATGAGCCAACCAAGACCTAAGTGTGTTACTTATGTCTCAAAGGAGGCATACACTCTTTTCAATAAATCAGCTGTGGTCTCTTTAGTGTAAATAAATGCCCTGAGATCGGATCTCTGAAAAAACGCTCTGGCTTTCCTGTTTACAGGAAGTAGAAGTAAGTCAGAGGAGTGGGGGTTGGGAAACGGCAGGAATTGGAGACCTACTTACTGATATTCATGGTATTCAGACATCTTACCTCTGATTGGCTAACAGCAGCGCACCTCTTCCACTGACTCAGTTTGCTCTGCAATGCTGATGTTTTGTCTCCACAAAGAAAAGTGTGAAGGAGTTTCTGCCGTGTTGTGAAGTTGCTAATGCTAATGGTTAGCTTCTACTGGCCGAGGCGCGCTCTGCTCTCGCCTGGCTGCAAAAATCAACACAGCCTTTCCCGGTCAGAAACTAAATTAAAGTGCAGCAGATCTGTGTTTGCCCATCTATTTTATTTTGGTGGATCTTATTTCAAAAAGACCAAGTATTATATTTTTCTTAGGGACCCTCACCTTTAGGACAGCTCTTATACCCACCTTTTCACAGCAGACAATGCAAACATGATTCCTATACTCTGTGGACAGTTTTGCATCGAAGATTTCTTTAAATGTACTTTTCCGGTTCTTCATTAGTAAACATCGCCTGCAGCAAAAGTTAAAAAAAAAAACTTTTTCATGAAATGTTGTGTAATTGAGAGGAGAATTAAGGTGGCAGCAGCTGATTCTGGTTCAGACAATCTCTTTTTCTCAAACAGAAGCTGTTCAGGAAGCTAGCTAACACAGGCAGGATAGAAAGAACTTATCTACCACTGTTTACACAGAAACATGCTTGTAAAATGGCCAAAATATCTCTTTGATGTGTTTTTTCAATCAGAGTGAGACAGTGTAACTTTTGTAGATTATTCTTAAATTATGTTAAAACCATCAAACTTAAAAAATATAACTTGAAATCTCTTTGGTTTTAGCACAAGGAGTCAATTTCTATCATAAAAGCAAATGTTTGCTAAAGTTACACCGTCCCTCAAGCAGTTTCTTCACCTTAAAAACCATGCTATTTGTAGAAATAGTACCCAAATGGAGCCCCTGGTCACATCTCACACTTTACTACTGCAGTTTTAGTTTTAATCCATAGAAAGACTTTAACTGGCCTCGGGTCAAGACCAGTCAAATTTTGCTGGTTTTGTTGAAAGGATGTTAGACAGAAACAGAAAAATAATAATAAAAAACAATCCTGTTAGTCGACTTTCTGTCATTAGAATTCTCACGTTTGCCTGAGATGCTTAGTCCCCTCAAGACAACGCTGTTTCCCGTGCCGACCCTGCCTGACTTCCAGGAGAGTGCATTTATCTCGGAGAAAATTAGAAGATTCTCTTCACACCTCTAGTGTGAAGTCAGCATTTTTTCTCACTGGCCTGTAGATATAAAAACCAGAGGAAACGGTTGTTTCTGTCTTTCATAACTACAGGTCAAACAATGACACAAACACTGCTTTTGTTCCATCACAATACCTACATAGACACTTTTCTTTGTTTATTCTCTATTGGCCAAGTAAAGGGTTCCCACTTGATCACAGTTTTGCAGCAAAATTGCCAAAAATGTATCAATTTATTCCTTTATTTAGAAAAATACAGTACCAGTTATTTGTCAAAGGTGACGACAGCCTTGCCGATTACTCTGCTCTAGGATACCCGATTTTGGTGACATCGAGGCTGACCTTAGAGTCACCTCCCCCGCTGCCGCACTCTCCCTTGTCGTACCACCATTTGTTTTTCAATTTGTCCAAGAGGCCTTGCTCATTCAGTTTTAACACTGCCAGGTTAACAGCATTTCTTGAAACGATAAAACATAACTTGTAAGAAAATGAACAGGTCCGTGAGAAATCTAATATATAAATATTAGTAAGATTCATAAAAGGGGGTAGCAACGAGGGGGGTGGGGACAAATTGGTTAAGAATTTCACTAAAGTGGAGGGATAAACAGGAGTTTTACAGCAAAGAAAATGTTAAATATTAGAGAGGTGGCATGGAGGGTTACATTGCTCGCAACTGAAGTGTGCGGGATGGGGACATTCTTGTCGAATTAGATAGAAGAACATCCAGCATGCAGCTTTACATTCATCACAAGTGACAGAGCATGGTTTTAAACTAGCAAATTAATCAGACTGTTTCAGAGGTGAGTTAATGCAAAAGGGCACCAGGTAGAACAAGAGGAGGGAGAGGGAGAAGGAAAAGACATACAGAACAGTCAACAGGGGGGACGGTGGGCAGTGCACAGTGACATTCAAATGGATTTACAGCATAAACTTCAGATGGAATAACATAAACAAAGCAAACACGTCAAACAGGACAAAAATGTGCTGATTCAATTCAGATAACCCATAATACTGTTCACCTAGAGATGCACTTGGAAAAAAAACAGAAGAATTAAGGAGTGAGGAAAAAGGGAACATCAGGGTAGGTGGAATACTATAACAACATGGAGGGTATTGTTATAATATCCCACCCACCTTAATGCTGAGCCTTTAGGTGTGGCCACCCCGTAGCCTTTAGAGTCGAGGTTTCCGCCCACTTTCATGGTGTCGCATGGCTTCCGCTGCTCTATGTACTCGTTCATCGTGGACTCCAGCAGAAAGGCAAACTTGCCCTTCGACTTCCGAACCCGGGAAACCCCGTCTGGCGTCGTCTTGACAAACACCGAGGGCTCCGCCGATTTCATGTACGACCACATTTTCTCATAAACTGCTATTTTGGAGCGCTGCGTTCAAGGGAACAAAGAGAGAAAACGGGAAAAGAAGATTAGTTAGAGTCAAGAAATCCTTGGTGGTCAAGTATCTGTCAACACATTAGGGAATATGCAGCAAATGTGCAACAAATGTCTAATGTTTGAAAGTAGGAAGGAATAAATTATTCATTTTCCTGCAAAAGTTGTTTTTAGCAGGTGGCATTTGAGCTGCACGGTGGAGCTGCGGCGTAAAAGCCATAACTTGCACGTTTCTTCCTCTGTGGGTTTTCTTGCTGTTCAGTCTGAATATTAAATCTCTCATAAAGTGTGTTTTGATTGTCTGCATTAGCTGTGTGATGGACAGGTGATCTTTCCAGGGTATAACTGGCCTCTCACACACAGTCCTCAGATCCTGCAGTATGAAGGAAAACCAAGATGCATTTTTTCTGCAGTTTACTGTTTCCTGAACTGTTAAATAAATTTACAAGAATAGAGAGCTGACTCATCAAGCAACGCTGCCACCAGCTGAATTTTACAGCCTTAAAGTTTCACAGCACAAAAGTTAGTCAGGCGTGGTCACGGGCCAAATGCTTAAATGACCCCCCAAGGATAATTTATGTTTTATTTGACTCTCCCTTCTTTACTGACCATCCATCCACTGTTCAGGGTCACAGAGGTCAGCAGCACAGGGCAAGAGGTATTTTTCAGTTGAAGGATGTCTACAGTCCATCATCAGAGAAAAGGACAGATAAAGGGCTCTGTTACGACGCCTGGTGGCTCTGTAGAGGAGTATGGGCCAGGGTTCAACATAATGAGACCAGTGAAAGATGTTTTGTCGTCTCTGAGGTAACAGATTTCTAACCCTCACAAATAAAGAAAGATTTGCCCAGCTGGTCACACTAAATAACACAAACTAAAAATGCCTCTTCCATTAACACAAGGTAAAAATGAACCATTTGGACAGAAAACCCAAGAGACTGAGAAGCTAATGAAACTAGGACTTACTAAAGATCTGTCATACCCAAAAGAACATATATAACCTTGAAACTAAGCTTATTTAACTTTTGCCAAAAACAATGACTAGACCTGAGGTTGTTTGTCACAATCGAACATTAAAGCTCCAAAACTTTTCACAAACAAGCAGACTCTTTTACAAGTGGGATAATTAAAGCCCAAAGCTTGTTCTAAATACTCAAGTTCCTGAGAGCATACGACAAAGACAGCAAACTAGTGGCAGAGTGACTACAGCACAGATCTGCATCCTCCTCTCCCTAAGAGCATGGGTGATCTGCTCCCTTTGATAAGGTGCTGCTCATTCAGCAGCCTCCAGGGTCATTCAGCACAGCAGTGCAGGGCTCCAATGTGGAGCTGTCCATGGTGCTGATTTCCCTTAGTGCACAACCAAAGCGAAGCTGTTCATGGTCCTGTAAGCAGGAGAAACAGTAGCAACCAGAGCACACAGGCGGCAGCCGTAACAGGCTCCTGCATGTAAGAAGTTTTAGATAGGGGTGTCCCGATTCGATCACATGATCAGAAATCGTGGTTTCAGACTGATTGGGACTCGGGCTTTACTTCCTGATCCAAGCCCTGATCCGGACTCGGATACTGGGTTCAAATTACAGGAGAGCAACTTGGTTCTCCTTAAAGGTTGTCAGGCTCCCCTGATGCCCTTAACTTACACACCCAGAAGGAGCACAAAAGAGATCCAGGTTCTACCTATATTATATTATTGATATGGACTCAGAGAAGCGGGGATTATTTTGGGCAGAAATGCAGAGAGGCAGGCAGACCGCCGATTATTCATGAACTCCAGCTGCGTTCTTTAATTAAGACAGTCATTCGTGTCCATTCATTTTCTCTCTGGTAAGTTCTGTCTGTATTTGAGCATGATGTGTGGACGCGCTCGCGCTGCAGCGCTCGTCACTGGCGCAGCCGAGCAGCGCGGTGCACACTCCGCTTTTTTTGCGGTCAGTAGATCAGTTTGATCTGCTAGTTAAAAAGTTACTTGTGAGGTGAAAAAGAAGAAGCAGGCAGGAGGTTTTCTGGTGGACTGGGAGATGCAGGAAGATCAGAGACAGACAGGACAGGAAGATAGGAAAATAAAAACCAAGAAAACAGAACTAAGTTCTTAAAAAAATAAAATGTAGGTAGATTGATCTCACTACATGTTTGTACCTGTATAAAGCAATAATTTACCAGCATGTAGTATTTATATAGTTGATACAATTCAGATCATCTAAAAAACTCAGTCCCATGCCCAGGGACGTATCTAAGCATTTTGGGGGCCGAGGCAAAATAGACCCCTGCCAGGTATTTTAAGCTGAAGTGCTATCTGTTTTTATGTTACACTTTTTATATTTGCAATAAAGTCCAAAAGTGAAGAATTTATGTTATTTATTACTTGATTGTTCAAGCTACCTCACAGAAGTGATCTGTTGTTAAAAATTAAAATAAAAAGGCAATTAAATAAAAAATAAGGAACATTCTGGAACTGTTTCTTCCTTTTTTATTTTTTTATGTATCAAATGTATCGGATCGGGACTCAGTATCGGCAGATTCTCAACATCAAATGACTCGGACTCAAGGGCAAAAAAACCTGATCGGGACATCCCTAGTTTTAGATCCATGCAGAATCTCCCCTTCCAACACTCTTAAGACACCCCGCTGACCTGATTGGCTCTAGAGTTTATTTGATCAGATATTCTTGTCATGTGTGGTATGTGAAGAGCACTCTGGTCTGCTTGGAAGCAAGTTGGGGAGCACTCCAATCAAAAATCAGAGATGTGTAACATGTTTATATATGTTTAGATTCATGAGGACAAACAAGCACGCAGCTTGTTGAAAATGATAGTGGAAGCACGCTGCTCGCTTCTTCTTCGCCATGTTTTTAACAAAGTTAGATCTGGAGAGGTTTCGCAAGATTTCCCGTCGGACGCTGGGCTATTCGTGACTGAAATCAGTTCTTGTGTGGTGTGAAGTTTTGTTCTGTGGCTGCACACCACACACTGGGAGACAGGAAATTGCTTGGGACACCCAAGCCACAAGGGGACCCCACAGGGTGAAAAAACTCCCTGACGATGCCCTCTTCCTCCTTCCTAAGACTTTCTGTTCAAGGACATCCCGTTCTAATTCCCATTCTACTTCTTCTACAACTTGTCTCTGTGAGTCAAAATGAGCTCTAAAAAACAACTGGTCATCTTCACGACCACAATCAGGGCAGGGATTTCATGACAGGTGTTTCTGAATCCTAACCACTCCTGTCTCAGCCTCACAGATCCGGCCAGGGGCACAACAGGCTGGAAAGTTTCAGCACACGTTGCGCAGCTCAGTGACAGTTGTCTCCTGGTTGTAATTTTGAGTGGACGGACCCTTAAAACCCAAACAGCTCAGCAGAGGTAGCGTGGGCTCTTTGCCAGCAGCCTGAAGTTTCACAATCTGGCAGCTCAGTCAAAGTAAATTGCAGACACTGTTTAGTATCAATATTAATAGACTAGAAATTCCCTCCTCAGTCGCAATTTGTGCTGCTGACAGCAGGTTAGAGAAAAATCTTTATCCATCCATTGTCTGAAACCCCTTTGTCCACGTAGGGTCGTGGAAGGCTGGTGGGTGGGTGTGTGTGTGTGTGTGTGTGTGTGTGTGGGGGGGGGGGGGGGGGGGGGGGGGGGCTGGTGCCTATCTCCAGCGGTCAATGGGTAATCAGGTGGGGGTACACCCTGGACAGAGTGCCAGTCCATCGCAGGTCAACACACACACACACACACACACACACACACACACACACACACACACACACACACACACACACACACACACACACACACACACACACACACACACACACACACACACACACACACACCTAAGGACAAGTTGGACAGACCAATTAACCTAACAGTCATGTTTTTGGACTGCGGGAGGAAGCCGGAGAACCCGGAGAGAACCCACGCATGCACAGGGAGAACATGCAAACTCCATGCAGAAAGATCCCAGGCTGGGAAGCGAACCCAGGACCTTCTTGCTGCAAGGCAACAGCTCTAACCACTGCACCACTGCGCAGCCAGAAAAATATTTATTTAGAACAATTTGTTTTAATTTTGATCCATGCAGAAATAGAAGCTTCTAAAATATCATGACATAAATAGAGAAAAGGGTTAAACCCAGGGATGGTCGAGTGATGGAAACATCTTTTAATTGTGTTTTTGTCAAAAACTTCCTATAAATAATATTTTATTTCTGCTGATTCCTTTAGATGTGAGGTCACCTTTGTTGCAACATCACCTTCGAACCTTCAAGGTTGCTTTGGTAACCTGATCCAACTCTATTTAACACACTTCCATCTCCTTTAAAACAGTCAAATATTTAAAAACTCATTAATTCGAACCCAAATGCCAGCTCACTGCCTTTTGTTCTCTGCTATATGACAGAATTGCCTTTGTGAGGGCACCGTCTTTAGCACATTTGACCTCTTTACTCAGAGACTGACAGCTTCACCTCTGTGGCCCTGTCAACTGCCAGCTGGAGCTGCTACAGACGTGCACAGCCCAGCACCGCTCTGACACAGTATGCTGCTAAAAATGGCCAGCGAGAGGCTGATCGCTGGTCACGGGGGAGCACGAGTACACAGCTGTCTACAATAGAGGAGAAAATAAAAAAGGCTGCATTAAACTGGGCTAATGTGACCTTCTGCGCTCAAAGCTCAAAAGAGAAGCGTGCCTTTAGAAGCAACTTTGGGTAAAATCCTCTCACATTTATACAGTTTTGACCCGAGAAGGATTAGTATGTCTAAAGGATTATAAATGCTGAACTTATTTCTTGCATGATGCTAATTTGGTGCTGTCATGCGTGTTTACTCGCTCCATCTAGATCACATGAGTCAGTCCCACATCACATCTGGTTGGTGAAGGTGAATGAAAACATCCCAGTGAGCTGACTAGCTGTGGCAGCTTGGTGTCGTGGACGGCGACATAAATTATTAAGCTGAGACGTAATGGATTGTGGGCTCAGGCCACTAAGTGAATCATTCTTGACATATG